TTTATCTAAGTGTGGGTTTTATCATTATAATCGAAACTATAAATATTTCCACTAACAAAAAAACTTTTTTTGTTATTTTGATATACGAGTTAAAAGGAGTTGAGGGATTTCTTTTAGGCCTCCGTGTGAGTTGAGGGATTTGTTTTTGATCTGGTGCACTTTCAAGCTGCCCTTTACTTGATATCTAGTCTTTTTTGGGGTGGATATGGGTTTCGGGTTCCGCTTGATTTGGCCTTGGAACTCCGCCACATTTGATCCGTCTTGTTATGTCAAACAGAACATTTTGGTGCAGCTTTTATTGGATGCGACCTTTTTCTATTATCCTTGACCTTGTTATCGTTGTGCCAAGAGAGAGTCCATCGCCCTTTCTGGTTTGTCACACAACAGGAGCCTCTGTCTGGGGACTCTCTTGGCGTCACAAGGCGTTTCCTTGTATTTGGACTTATACTGCTCTAACAGAATCTCTTTTTCTGCGCCCTTGAGTGACCCTTCACAAATTGCAAGGCATTTGGTAAACAACCATTTTTGCAACCGGTACGCCTTGTTATCGCCTCACATGCTCTATTGTCGTAGTCCGATGTCTTTGATGAGTTTTCGCATGTGCATGCTGGTACGGAAATCATTTGGACAACCTGATCTAGACAGGTCGTCATCCATAGAAGCTAAGCTAAGATACATTGCACAGGCACAGTTCACAAGAATAGTTAAGACTGTGAGGTTGTGCTCTAGCAATGAAGGGTAGCCTGTGTTAACTAGTCGCGGCCCCGACTGACCAAGAAACAGAGTGACGCTGCGAAACCCACACGACGCTTAGTCAACCCAAAGTCCTGTTAACAGTCAAAAAGATCTGATTCGAGAGAGCTAAAATATTGCGATTAGCCCCAAACCTGATCTTGTCCGGGCCTATCACAGAGCGAGGTCACTGGGGCCGATCGGGCCATATTACTACATTCTACCCGGGACGAAATAGGTCTGTGTGGTACTAGCGGCAAGCGCTGATAGTTTGTGTTGCAAGTGTTGCGTCACACGACCGAAAAATGCAATATCATTTTGGTTGCTGTGAGAGTCTTGGCCAGCTAGCCGCTAGTTCTCACGGAACTTCTTCCTGCTTCACTCGCTTGTTAGAATATCTAGAATGACCTTTTCCTGCAACATAACTCACTCTGAACATACAAATACGTACAAACTAGAGGAATTTCAGCTAGGGTGTAAAACAGTGCTGAGTAGGACTTGAGCAAAGCAATATTCTTTAGGGTTGCGGTTTATTCCACAGGTTTTCACTTAGGCTCTAAGCCGCTTCCTTTTTCCATATCACCTACCCTGTTACCAAAGTTACAAGCAGAAGGCACCTCACAAATACTTGTTAACACGGGCCACATCAAGTGACCCAAAATCTGTTAACAAGGCGCTGAACGGAACACCCCCGCAACTTACTACTAATGGTGCCTAAATTCGGGTACCTAAATCGGTTATATTACTATTCGTTTGCTAGTTCTACAAGCTTGCACGCTGTTTCTTGTTCCGTGTGTTATAATAATAGCCGGAAACCTAACGCTTTCATTGGCACTGTGCCTTGCACAGCTGTGATCGTTCTGTGATTTACTAAATAAAGGCGTAGCATAAATATGGTAAGTTACTCTGTACATACATGGATAAACACTGTTCAAGCCCTATTTGGCCCCACTCATTCCTACATATGCGTCTTGTAATAAAGCTACCGCAGCATCATGAGCAAAAGGCGGAGATCCAGGCGGCTGGCGGTGCTACGCGAATGAGCGTCGGAGATCCAAGCTACTGTGGTTGGAAGAAAACCCATGAGAATAAAACAGCACCAGTCTCGAATAAGCCGGCATCCCAAACTGTATGCAATTCTGATACACTGATTCTTAGTCATGTTAACTTTGTTTCTTTCTGTTTTCTTCTCCATCGTGCTATATCGTTGGTGTTGGCAGCATTGTCATGAAGTTCATGCAATTCGCAAAGATCTAGTTGGATTGGTCTGCAAAGTTGTTAGCAGACTGTTTTCCAGCTCTTTCCACCCTATTATCTTTACCTACTGTTTTCAGACTAGACTTTGATTAGACCGCCTTATCTTGTCGTCCTTCATGCTAGGCCACATGCAGAAGCTTTGTCGGTTGTTAGCATATGCAATCAGTTGTGTTTGACAAAATATCTTTCCAATGTCTGTTTGTTTGTGTGGCTCGTAACCTGCCTTGTTCACAGAAGCTGGCACATCCATTGCCAAGAGGCGGCTATCCAACAACAAAAACACCCTTATCCGCATGCTGAATGTTTCGAACAAAAAGCATTTTCCAGGGTTAGATAACAGGTGGTGGCTATTGGCAGCGCCCGTCGCCCAAAGCAATGTCGGCTCCTTCTCATTCGCGGGGAAGATTCTGGCGTTCGCCCCGATGATTCACATTGGCTGTGTTTCGTTCCGAAACCATTCTTGGCGCTTGCTTGTTCGGTTGGACGTTTTCCAACACGCAACAACACAAGAACATATAACAGGAAGGTTAGTTTTTGGGTAGAGGCTATAAGTAGCCGGGCATAAGACTCCTGGATATCCCCTTCAGGTCCAATATTTTCGTGTCGATAATGTCTCCTTTCCATCACAAGTTTTGCACGACATATAAACCCCCTTTCTCACACCATCTTGCTCTCTCACATGTAACGAGGATGCAACATAATGGGCTTAGGGCGGAAATACGAGCAGCTGGTGGGCCATGAGTATGACAGCTATACTGTTAGATGAATACCACAAGAACACAAAGAAACTCACCCAGAATAAGAATGCACCCAATTCTTTACCCATTTGTAATTTTTATGAGGAGTTGAGGGATTTTCTTTAGGCTTCCATATGAGCTGAAGAGTTTATTTTAGACTTCCAAGACACCCTCTTTTTAATACCTACCATTTGGGGCCCCGCTGTCCTATTTCATTTCGACAATTCTTTTTCGTCTCCGTCTTGGTTTTTGTGTCTGGAATTATGAGGTTACTACCTTTTCCGGGCCCCTTTGCTGCCATTACTTGTGGCTCACACCTTGAAAGATGAAACGCGAGACTTCTACAAACTTAAGTACCAAAAGGGAGGGTGCCTGAATCAGTGCCTTGTGTACCAGACTATATGTCAAGTGTTCCGCCCTGTTCCGCCCTGTTAACAGACTGGTTAACAGGAATGATCTTTGTTACACCTCGCCCAGGTCTCCTATATGATTTCCAAGTCAGTTAGCTCACTCTCTATCAGCCAGAGCTCGGTCCGAAAAGTGTGTATATTACAACGCTTGTAAGTCGTGGTTCTGTCAGTATATTATGGGTTAGCGATACTGGCAATACACCTGAAAGGATTGGAGTCACAAAAGTGATAGCCCCTGGAAATAGAACCTTAGGCCATTTGAAATACAACGCTTGTCTTGGTGGCTTGTCTCACTCGGCTGTCTGAGAGTTACCCAATAAAGGTCCGGCCCGCATCTGGCAAGTTACACACAGTCTGAATATAACTTTGCAGCCTTGTTTGTCCCGGCGCCACGAAGTGTGAATCTGTCTGGCAAGTGCCCATAAAAAATAATCTTGTGCATTCACAGAGTTTTTGCTGAGGTTACATCAGCACCTCTTCGTCAACATAGCCAAATTCGTCTGTTCACATGTTGTATCAATACTTTGTGACCTGACCTTGCGGCTCTGCTCTCGGTTATTTCACATGCTGCGGAATTTTGCTTTGCCGTATCACAGAACCCTTTCACAACACCTCGTCACAAACTCTGCCACGGCACCCGTCGCAAGCCTCTCTACCAAATCCATTCAAAGCCTCATCACAAACTACTCTGACGAGTTTGAGGGATTGACATCTTGGAACGAAACGCCAGCGAACGGCATATTGCTGCCATTTTTTATTCTTATGGCTATCCGCGTAGTCAGAAATCCCCTAGATCTGGTTGGGCACCATTGTTAAGCAGCAGCTCCACCACCTTTGGGGTACCCTCCCATCTATGGCATAAAACAGTGGCGTCTGACCATTATGGTCCTTGGTATTCGAGTCCTCTTTCTCAAGAAGTTTCCCCGCAATATAATTTAAGCTAGTATAGGCAATTAGTTGTATTCCATGATACCCCGACTTAGACCATCCCAATAAAACTTGACTTGAGGCTGAAACTTTCGACTCATCCATGAGAAACTTCAAAGCAAGCTCCAAGTATCTCTCCTGCCTATCCCGAATATAGTCAGCCTAGTATCGAGCCGCGTACCCTAAAAAAGGGATGTACTAAACGAGAGTTTTTGCGTCTCGTCCATCCTGGCGATGATATTACGCCTCCAGGAGATAGCCAAAGAGTGCCTGAAGTCAAGTTTCATTATGCATCAGTCATTGTATCACATCGGATTGTTCCGGCCCACTGATACCCGCGTACTCTGGTAGCACAGATCTCAACGGTTATACCTGGCACTAGCTGCCTTTAGCGACAATGGAAATGTAACAATGACACCGACGCGACGAGGCTATCAGAAACCTGCTGGGTCCTTCAGCGTTAAGGTTAAGGTGGCACAGCGATTGCAAAGACATTGAGATCGAAAACGCAATTCCAAGAGCTTCCGTGTGTGATTGCTCAAAATTCTCAAAAATTAAGGACCTTCTGGCAACTACCCCAAACGCACATTCCGCTGCTGCGACCTCAAAAGAACCCATGATACATCCATTTACAGGGTGAACGGGATGAAATCAACCCCATATAATCATATTTGACATATTAATTGAAGTAGTAGACAAACCCGCTCAAATTGTCACCGATATTTTAGATTAACTCCGTACCTAAATCTGCATTGGACAAACAGTGCGTCTGCCACGAACAAGCGCCCGCATATTTGGTCTACAGTTAGACTTCAGACATGATTTATTCGCGACTGCTGCTTCGTGGAACGGTTGGACGACCATCGAGCTACTTATATCTAGGTAAGTAATTATGGGATTTAGCCTTTGGGACTGACGACTATTAACTGCTTTAATGATGCCTTCACAAGTAGTCAACCTACCGGCTTTGAAATCTTCCCTCACCGCTCTAAGAAGCTCTCTACCCCGCCCGTCGAAACATGCGATTCATCAACTTGTCCCTAGTCCTCCCAACTGTTTGCCCGATGTCTCAGCCCTGCCTACTGCAATCCCATCCAATAACGGCTCGTCTGTTGGCTCGCAGACCCAGGACCAGAATCCCACAAGCACCAACGCTGGTGACACGGATGAAATCTTCCAACAAGAGCTTCAAGGGATGAGCAAGACCACGTTGAATGGACTAAAAATGGCAAACCATACCCGACGTCAAAGATATTTAATTAACCAGGAACGATGTCGCCGAAGCGCCGCTAAGAAAGCAGCATCAATAAGTAATCAAGCTCCAGCATCGGAACCGGAACAGGAACCAACCAACACTCCTTCAGACAGTAAGGCTGTTACCTCGATCGCGGCACGGCCTCTAGGGCCCAGCGCTTCAGATGACGCGGCTTCGAGGTCAGCCAGAGAGCCTCCCAGGCGTTGGTATCATTTTCCAGAGTACCACGACTTAATCGCCCAACGAGTTTCAGGTGTTCTTTTTGAAAAGCCTGACAGAGACGGCGTCCATGAATGGTTGACCAACATTGTCGGAAAATTCGAATGCTCGAGGGAGGGGTGTAAGCACGAATGGGAGAGTGGTATCGTCTCTACTGTTATTCGCAAGTACGAGCTTTCCGACGACGAAATTGCGTATAACGCGAAGGTATTCAACCAACGATGCATCAGATGCAAGTCACTAGGGATCGTGACGATAGATCAGGACATCTATGTTGAGAGAGTGATACGTAGGCTGAAGATTTGGAGAGACGAGAAGGTTGACGAAGTGGCAGTGCCCTTCAAGCCGACAAGACCGCATATAAAGTCGCTCTGTGAGGGCTGTAGGGTAGGACGTTGTCAAAGGGGATCTTGGTCAATTGTTGAGACGTCGGATTATTAGATTGTGACTTCATTTTCAGTCAGTTACAATATTTCTTAAATGAGAGATGGCTTGAAATTTTTCGGCCTTTCCTTTACTCCTTCAAAATTGCGCCCCTATCATTCACAATTGTCTTTATCTAAACAATTATCGACTGTTGTAATCCGCGTTTTCGTCTTCCGATTCATTTCCTTATCTTGTCAATTACGAGGACTCTCGATATATTTTTAGCCGCAAAAAAAGCGATTCTTCATCATAGAAAATGCCATATGATACTAACTTACATCCTACTAAGGTTCCTACATCTCCCTGGCGCTACTACTAGATCCCATATCTAGGTAGTGGCTCACCAGTATTACATGTCCGTCTGCATAAAGGCGCTGTTTTCAGTAAAAGAAAAAAAAAAAGGCCCCCCAAGTTTGAATAATCATCTACGTACAAATTATTATTAGTCAAATCGCACTTGAACTCTAAAATTCAGGCATCATTTGATCTAAAACTTGGATTAAATTTCTAATAACCCGTAAACCTCATAAGCTAGACCAGGCGGCTGTTTCATCAGCATTCAGAAATGCCACGTAACACTAGCTGAAGCTTTCAAAATTTCCACACCCCTCCAGTAGCATTAGTAGGTCACAAAGATCGGATGTACTAGGAATACTTCAAAAGCTAGCTGACACTGGAGCTAGGATTTTCACAACCGGCCGACCCCACCCAGAGGATATCAATGAAGCGTTTAAAAAAATGGACAAGATCGAGCTTAGCGCAAAAGTAGGTGATATTAGGAAGTACATCAACGCGGAAATTAGCAGGTACCAGAAAAGAACACCAATGGAAGGGCATATTGATGATGAGTTGAGAAATCGCATCATCGAAGGCCTGACCCAAAAGTCGAATGGAATGTAAGTTAAAACTCAACGATGTGGGGACATACCCTATAAGTACCTATATCACCAACTCTTCAACGTTGCAGGTTTTTACTTCCCAAAGTTCAGCTGGAGTTCCCCCTCAACCAACATACGATCCCTGAATCGGCTCCAACATCTCAGGTGCCGCAGGTGGCAATCTCCCGAAGTGGTAAGCCAAATAAACCAAAATCGCGAATACAGGTACACCAATGCCGATTCCCAGCCCCACTCCGATCTTCCCAGACTCTGACAGACGGCCTCCTCCTCCCGTGGAGGCATTTGTCGAAGCGGCAGTAGTTGCAGTCGTGGTTATAGTTACCGTATTCTTCTCGGTTTCTTCGTTCGAAGCTTCATTGCTAGGGGTGACGAAAGTTGTGATGGTTTTGGCTGGGTTATATTAATGAATTAGGATCATCAGATTAGCACATTTTTTTGTAGGTTTCTGTTTCTTTTGACAATCATATAGCTACCCGTAATCATCTCTGAATTGAATTGAATAAATAGATGGATGGATTGATGATAAGTTAAAATGAAATGTACCTACTTTCATTCTCCGCCGTACTCGTCGTCGAACTCTCAGTAGTCCTCACCGGCACCGTCCGTGTCTCCACAACCGTCACCGTCTCCGGTGCAACGGCACCGCTTCCTCCACTCGTACCCGTAACCCCACCCCTATCGTTCGCAAGATATTGACTACAATACCCATCAAACACGCTGATGGCGCCGGGTATACCCCTTGTATCCTCAAAACAACTAAACTCGACGCAAGTTGACAAATGATCGGTGGCCCTGCTCCTGATATTGCCGTCGCATAAACACGAATTAACGCTACAGTCGACTACATTTGTTAATTGGTTGAAACCGGTGCACCGGACATTAGGGTACCGTTGGAAGCAGCAGATTACGCAGGAGCTGGTGGATATGAAGCTTTGGAAGTCTGATGCGCTTCCGAAGTTGATGGATTCGTTGTCGGTATCTGGGGGGGCCACTTGGGCGGTAACTCGGGAGGTTAGGGTTGTGATGGATGCCAAGACTGCGGCAAGAAGCGGGCTCTTAATAAAGCAGATCATGCTGAATATCCAGCTAAGTTAAGCCTCGAGGCTATAGAAGCTAAAATACTTAAGAATCGTGGAAACGAATTTGGAAGTAACCGTCGACGAATCCAGGGGGGGAGGAGAGAAAGTAAGGTTACTGGGTATGTCTTGGCGTGACAAACACAATCCCTGTTTTGCCTCCCCACATGCTCATGAATGAGGTACCTGAGAGCTTCCCATGGCCATACATCTGCAGCGGCCTGCACCCTGAGTATCATCCGAATGTTGGATTTACCACATTAGGCATCCCGCAGACTCGCATGAGAAGAACGTGGAGACGAGTAGCTTGGCGGGGCCAAACCGAATTCTGTAACAGTGAAGTGCAGCAGAAAAAATTCGGATAAAACCTCCACAACAAAAAACCGCAGGTACCGGCTGCAAGCCGTGTGTATGCAAGATGCCGTGGTAGGCTTTCAAAGCTGCGAGGAACGAAGTAGTGCCCTGGATTATGTAGCCCTGCCGAACTAATGCGTTTTTTGAAATCTAGAACCGCCTTGGGAATATTCCCGGAAGCGAGACGATTATTATGACAAAAGACGAACGCTGGACTATATTCCGCCATAGCTGATCGCTTTAAAGAAATCGAATTAGTTCCTTGAGATACCGTAGTCCTTGCGCTTACGGATTGTTTATCAGGGCTGCTATTCCTTGACTTAGACCTTATACCTTGTTTCTCGGGACTGGAGTTCCTGGACCTCAGTTGTTTCGTTATATCGAGTCGAAAAACAGGTTCTGCGAGCCTACAGATGCCGAGATCTCTATTCGAAGCCGACGAAAACCCGCTTTGCGAAGCGAGACTGAACTTCCGTTTCATCGGCGAACCGGGATGTTCCAGTGACGGAGCAGCCTCCTCAATGGTAAAGGAAGCCTTTAGCTGACCGATCGTTATGACCTCTAAAGGGTCGTCGCCCCGCTCTGCGTTAATATCGGCCATATCGATGGGTGGGTTTCCAGAATCTGGATGTTTTGAATCCATTTGCGTATTTACTTGTAAAGAGGGGAACTCTCATGCAAGCCGTGCAGGGTGGAGGTCGACGACAGCAGGCGATAAGTAGTAAACGACAGATGGTTTCAATATTTGGTTTTTGTCGTTCATGCAGAAGAAACTCCATGGCGTTAGGGCTATATATGACAATGATAGCGTCATAATCTCCTAACCATCCTTAATTTGGATAACCACCACAACCCATAAAGCGTGAATCACACTAGCACGAATGGGATTTTCATCAAAGGCGATATCAGAAAGCTCTTGAATTTGAATCGAACAGAGAAAGGACTAGTAGAGGCAATTGGCGCGGGAGCGTCATCACGCGCTTGATACGGCTAAGCTGAGAAACGAGGCCCACCGCAAACAAGACGGAGGTCGGACACAGACAAGAGGGTATACTTTTTTAAGAAAATTAAGTGGTTGGAATGCTTGAAATCAGTGCTGGTTTTTGTGCCAAGATCAAAAATCAGTGCTTGATTCTAACAACTCATACCTGGGTTTTATCGAAGTATCGAGATGAAGAATTATGAGATCAGGTTTCTTGCCGCTGCGTAAGTTACCTATCAAAGCTTCGCTCGGCTGCCAGTTCATACTCGCACCTTGGTATGCAATATTACTACTCTCGCCAGCTACTGCATTAATTACTACGCAGCAAATCCCACCAGGTTCATCGGGAGCATATCTACTTTAGATGATACATCAATACCACCAGCTGCTAAATATTCCTTAAGCTGCTCTCCATATTCATCCCCTCCTACGGCACCATGGAAGGCAACTCGGGTATCGAAAGCGGCACTGAGGTTCGCCTCGCATTGGATAACATCTGTATTACAGGAAGAAATAGGGGCCGGTTCGAGGTGAAAAGCATGCCCATGTTGAGAGCGCCTATAACGGCAATATCTCTCCTCGTAATTGAGCGCTGCATGTCTGCGGGCAGAAGTATCCGTAAGTTAGAAATGGCGGGGCCTGTGTCTTTTTGGTATTCTGGGAAGAGAAGGAATAAAGCATATATAGGGTACAAAAGAAACATGGGCACCTCGGCTGTAATTTAGACATTGCAACCACATGATGGCTTGGCATTAATATGAATCATCGAAAAAAGAGTACAACAAGAAGAGGCCCACGGTTATGCACATGTGCAAGGGATTTTCCTGGGATTTGAAGACAGATGAACCGCGAGGCAATATAACTAAGCAATTCCTCTCAGGTTAAGTTGCAAACATAATACACTAATGGTACCAGTCTCATATCATTCTTCGACCGATGATGGCCTCTGTCATGATATCCCTGCCCTTATTTCGAAATTGTTACGCCATTCTAAACCAGTTTGACAACCAAACAGACTGCATCGTCACAGCATTCTAATCCTGCAACAACCCATTGACATCCTTTTAGATATTCTTTCTCATTCAATACCCTTAGAGAATCACCGATTGGTTTCCTCTTGTAATCCGGCATTCGGGACATAGCTTTCAAGTCGAAGCATGCGAGGGGCACGGATTTCTCGTCTATTGGAATTACGTCGATCTTTGGCGGAGACCAGTTAAAGCTGGTTCCTCGATTTTGGCTGAATACAATGAGTTGTACGTCGAAAAGACCCGGATACAGCATATTGACCTATTCAAGGAATTAGTTACCGATAACTTTACTTGCTGAACATATACGTACACCTGCGTTCTCCGTCATGCTTCTCAACAGCTCTTGAAAGCTTTTGTAAGGTTGATTCAATATTCGATAGCAATACGCTTGAAAGACGCTTTATAATTCTATCCCAGTTTTGTTTGTTCCATGATTCGGATATTTATATTCCAAGTGATTTGCTTGCGCCTAAATGACGAGAAAGGCATATATATAGAATGCCGTTTCCGGCCAGGCGAAGACTTTGACACACCGCATGCAGCCCCGACCAATGCTGGGGCATCCCTCTTCGTCACGAGACTTGGTATAGATTCGAAAAAACGAAATGCCTGCAGTTGCTTTGCTCTATTTCATACTAACTGCAATAAACAATTTACTATCTGACCCTCATTTATCCGACAAACCGCGAGTTATATCTTAAGATCGCAGTACGTTGTCCGGAGTACAGATATCCGGGGTACGAACACGACCCACGCTTTACGACTAAGTGCTCGCATAACTGAACCTATAAAACGCATGCAATGTAATGGTTTTGTAATTCAAAAGCTTAGAAGGTATCCGAAAATTTACTACAGTCTAATCACGTCCGGAAATCAGGTGATGAGGAATACATAGATCAGAAATTATTTAATTCAAAATATAATGTTCTTCACTTTAACATAGAGGTAGCTAAAATTATGAAAGCAGGTTATTGTCTCACCATTTGAGGGATTTGTGACTATTCTGATTTTGAAAAAATATGTGGTAAGAGTATGCAAAAATACTTCTTTCAAAAACAACAATCTCCGACTCAGAAATTCCGCTGGTGGGCTTATCGAGCACAGAGGGGACCGCCCAAGAAAATATGGGCCATCCTTGGAACATTCGGATCTACCTATTAAAGAGGCTAAAAAAATGGAAGCGAATAAATTATAAAATTTAAAAAACCAAGATATTGTAATAATTGCGTATACATCTTTATTAGTATAATATTGTAAATATAATTTGTCCCCCTCTTTCTGTTTCTGAAAATTTTTTTACTTACTGCTTTAATACTAGTGTTATATCTGCTTTCTTATTACAATCTAGTACACTAATACGCAATTGTAAAAAACGGACCTCGAAGAGGGCCCGCAGTTCATTAAACAACAATACCCTTTCGTTCGCAGGCAGGGGGAACAAAAAAAAATACCCTATTAGAAAATACCCACGATTTGGCAACATCGCTCTTGTACCAATACGCCACCGTGTTTGTCGATTGGGTCCACGGTTTCCAATACATTTTTTATATGAAGAATTAGGTACAATTGCAACAAAAGAATCATTTAACTTTCAGGCCTCATATTATGCTTAAACTCCAATATTTTCCGTACTATTACCATTATGTTTATACTGGATTTCTGCATTTTATTAGCAATACCACACCAGCCGGGCCCACCACTCCCAAATTAGGAAAAGGAAATAAATCTAACAAATACAATGCCAATAATATCCATTAATTAATATCTGCAAATTATTCAGATTTTAAATAAAATAGGATATGGTATACCATTCAAGATTAAGCAGTGAAGATGTAGACATATTATGTTATATACAGAGCTACTTCCCACAAACACCGGCATAAATTATTGTAATACCGGAATTCCAAGATATTCTAGATGCGTTAACACCCTTCTTCAAGCTATAAAATATCCATAACATCCCGGGCATAAACTTTTCCATATTTCCCTTATATCATCTACATCGCTAAACAAAATTCTAACCAACATAGTGATTAAAGAACGATAGTCATGCAAATCAGCTTTCTCAGTCGATTAAGTAATATCCAAATCGGTAGATCTCTCCAATCGTGAGAGTTGCCTTCTGGCCAACGCTCAGCCACCAGTTGTGGTATTTCCAACTAGCAACTCAAGTTTAATGTTATTGTGAACAGACGAAATGGAGATGTACATTTGGAGTCCAGACAAACTTTAGGCATATCAGATACACGCATTCAGCACCGCTAACAGAGATAGAATAAATAAACCAACAAAAAATACACGGATAAAAGTAACCTTGCAATAAACTTATCAAAAGACGGTTTTGGTAACACCTCCATCCAGAGTAAATCTCTTCCTTACCTGAAGTTTAATCAATTTGGTGCCAAGTACTACGATTTTTTTAAAATCCCCTCAATAATCAACTATCATAAGGCGAGGGTAATATATAAACATTTACCCAGCGTTTAAACACATAATTTGCTTAAATGTATTGGCCGCATTCCTATCCATTTTATAGTCTTCAGCAGAATTACTAAATTTAGTAGTATTGTAGAAATTGACGTGTTTATGGAATATATTAAACCATTAAAGACTATTGAAATAGTATATAATAATAAAAAAAGATAGTTCAAGTAATTTTAAATGAATGTATAGATTTTAAATATTAATAATTATACAAATGCTAAGGTACTTTTAAAAACGAATATTCTGAATGACTGAATTAGCGAACTGTTGGGAAGAAGCTGATTAGGACATGAATTATTATAAAAGTTAAATTAGGCGTTAGATGGGGAGCAATATATACTATACTTTATGAACTTTATCTAATGTGACAATTTTACTTATTGTGCTTAAAATAGAGCAAAACAAATCAAGGCAGATGGAAAAGAAAACGTATGCAGTTTTAGAATTGATGAATGAGTAGGTAAGATCAACTATTGTGATGGATCCTTTGAAAGTATTGAAAGGGTTTGGATTTTTTTTTGTACCAAAGAAAGATTTTAGAAGTTTGAGTTTGAGATTAGGAAATATCTATTGAGCTGAAGTGAAAGATTCAAGAGCAAGCTGGGCCTTGAATTTTTCATAATTGAAGCTGTTATTTGCTGCCATATTTTTCAAAATGCGGGTGATTATTTGCAAATAAAGAGCCGTATTATCTTCTTGAATAGACATGGGGTACAGCATGGTTTTGGTGGTGAGTTGACTGGCCTTCAAAAGAAGTGGGTACACTGTGACGCTAGGAATCTTTCTATAGACCTGTTGCATGTTGGAAAGATTAGAGCGGGATATTAATATTGTTACTTTTCTTGTACAGTTCTGTTGAGGTGGGGCCGAAGTAGTTGGACTAAAAGAGGGTACAGCTAGATACGCTATCTCGCAGGGTTTTCCAACATCGAGAGGTGTGAATGGGGAGAAGTAGAAAACCACTCCAGCTAGGGGACGGTGAAGTATCCCGACGGCTGGGTTTTGGATAACACAGTTCTCTGTATGCCAAATTTAGTACGAAGTTCTGGACAATGATCTGAAGCGTGAGAACTCATACCCATGATGACAGACAGAGAATGAGATTTCCCGGACCCTTGCAACCCGCAGATGAAGGTGGTAAATGGTGTGTTGGTGTTGAGAAAGACTATATCGTCGTCAAGTTCCTCATCAGATCGAAAGTTCAACTTCAGACTTTCGCTTTGAAGCTTGGCGAATGTAGCGAACTGGAGGCTGCTTGCTGGCGCATCATCAATGCTGGGATCAACGCGGATAGTATCCGACGTGAAGAGCGGGGCAGGAGATATAATAGGTTCAGCGGGGGTATGGTCATTCGCGTCACTGTCTGGAGGCCTGTCAAACAGCTGCGTCGAGGTATTAATCAATTTTTTCGTTGACATCTTCCAGCCTCCTTCGATCTGGATTTCAGGCCGTGTTGATGGCTGGCCGGTAATCTTAGAGTCGATTTCGATGGCCCTCGTATGATAAGCTGCATAGTTAGTTAGATTATGTCTTTACTTCTAGGGGATGAACGCGGGGTGCATCCTGGTCTGTCTGAATGAATGTGTCTTCATCCTGCGAGATTTCGATATTTCTGCCTTCCCAGGATTCTGGCTACCGGTAGCTGCGTCCATAGTAAATGCTTCTAGCCCTTGAATTTGAGATGGCCCCTGAGCAGGTCGAAGGATTTCTGACTGGACGGTCGATTGTGTCGCTTGAATTTGGGGAACTGTGACAGCTTGCGGTTTCGGAGCGTTTTGGATTGCTGAAGTAGCTGGTGGAGGACCGTCACGATGCCAAAGGCTCCAGTGTGGAAAGAGCTTCTTCACAGCCGGATCACTTGGCGTGGGTGGGACGCGGTATTTCCTTTGTCTATCGAGGTGGTTAGCAGCTCTCCAGAATCAGTCGAGTTAATTCTCTTACCCAAGATCATCCCGTATCATTTTTTCTATTAGCAGGAATTCTACGCTTTTGAGCGTTTCTGGTCGTATAGTTTTGCGAACTTCTTCGACAAGTTTCTTAGTTTTAGGCTGTCGGCTGGAATATGCTGGTAAAAGGCATCATAGAGCCAACATTGTAGCACGTTCTGTACTTTTGCCCGCATATTGATGTAGGTAATAGACTATCGGAATATTTTCAAGGGGCGCGGTTTCGGTGGATTCCGGAGGGATGGTGATGTTTGATTGTAGGAGCCGCTGAAGTATAAAATCAACGGGAAGGTAGGTGTTGTGGAAGCATATGAGTGATATCACCACTCTCGGCATAATCCGTCGAAGTACAATCCCAAGTACTCAACCGTCCTCAGCTTCTCTTAGTATAGAAGTAGGCTCTTGTCAACAAAGCCTTCCCACTGATTATTAGTTTGGTGCTGAAAAGGGCTAACCTCAAGCTCTTGACCCGCAAGCTCGAAGAGAAAAGGATGGTTATATGATTTAAAAACTAGAAGGTAATATACACAAGTAGAAGGAACATTGTTACCCGGGTATAACATGCTGTAGCACGATAAGGCACTACCCGCATATCGAAAGCGTTCAAAGTACCCCGCATGTCTATGATTGTGGATTGGAGGTACGTATGAGAAGCTCTCGCGGGCTATGGGCCCAACAAGTTGACGAGATGGCTGTGCATGTGCATCATTCGTCAAACGCTCTTGCGAAGGACGGATAGCTTGGCGTCAACCGTTTAGCGTCCTTCGTCAAATCGGTTGCTTTCAAGCGGAATGAGAGTGAGACATAGTTGACGAGTGAAGCCCCACATAGAGGTATCTTCTCAGAAGCCCACCCTCTCCGGTATGATTACAGGTTCGTGGACGATCTTTGAGAGACAGTTTTCGGACGTTGCCCTTGCTATAAAAAAAAAATAAAAAAAAGTTTGATTGTGGTTCTACCCATTCTTTTGAAATATACAATTTACTGTGCCAAAAAAATGCCAGGAACCCCCACCGACTGCAAGCCCCTAGGCGATACTCTTCGCGCTCCACCAAACTCGCCTCAATAATTATTATTCTATCATACGTTCCCCTTCATAGAAATCAAATTAGCACAGACTCTCGAGACTGTTGCAGCTTTCGTTAGCTCGTGTTGGGGGCAGGGTTTCTTTTTCTGTCAGGTGGCATTTTGGGATGTGTTGCGAATGCTGCATTTCTCACGCGGCATATTTTTGGACATGTACTTGAATTTCCAGACACTATGATGCATGCAATGTTGCACGACGTATATGTATGGGTATGCATTGATTATCAAAGGCCATGCCTGCATTTTCCTTCTCACAAATTAATATCTTATAAACGAGCAAACGCCTTAAGATTTCAAGCACCAGCGCCCCATCGTAGCCTTATATCCGGTCCGTAGGCGATAGATATATCACGAAATCCGCACTGTAGAAGGGGTATGCACCAACCTTCGAAATTGGCTAAAAGTTACACCCTTCCTTACTCCCGATATATGGGGGAACATAGCAAATACTCACTACGATCTCCTCACGAATTATTATGAATTCCTCAAAGAAGCAAAGTAATCATTATCATCTTCTCCTCACAAATTCGCCGCAACAATTCAGAAGTATCATATCATTCAACGAATTCGTTTCCATAAGGTCGAGGATCCCCTATACCGCCTTGAAACCCGCCGACCAGAGAGCCATCGATATTTAACCGCATATCGTGACCGCGTCAGCGAGATGCTCACAAGTATCTATGGAGACATCAACGACGTTGGTGATGAATACTAGGGATTTTGCGAAGAGATGTTAGGGCTTCTAACTACGATCCGTTTGAGATTGGAAAGAACGACTCTCCTCGTTCTCAGAATTTTTGCATCACCTCAGTTTACCTATGCGCAAGTGGAGGAATAATACATAAACAACCAAAGAATTATACTACTGAATAAATATTTGATTTTAGTTTGTGGGTTTTGTAGTGTTTTTTGGTAGATGGTTGATATTATCTGTATAGATGTTTTATATATACATTTTTTTTTAGCGGCCTCAAGCTCGGTTGAAAAGGTATTTAGTTTTTTTGCAAGCTGTAATAGCATATTTACATTTAAAAATTCTGTTTATAATTTATCTACTTTGAATCGCCTAAGGATTATATACACGTATATAAGGAACTTTCAAACAAAGACCATTATCTGTACTTTATTACCGGATGTACTTAACCACTTGAATGAATATGTCATATATGCATCTTTGCAAACACATCCCATTAGGTTGGTGTGAATATGATCTGATTTTTTTTTTTTCCTTTTTCTTCCGGTAATATAAGGTATATTTATGAATATTATTGGGTAGATTGAATAACTCACAGCAGAGGTTGTTGACTATTCAGGCGCTACTAGGCTACCAAACCGCCAATTATGTTGCTGTGTTAAATTTTGAACAAAATGGCTTTTGTTTTGGCAGATATTACCCCCGCATTTCTAATTATACTGTCATAATTTTCATTTTATATGATTTTTATAAACATATATTATTCACGTATTTCTTTACATAAGTAAAATCAAATACCTGATATTAACAAAAAAGGATTGAGTGTATTGACTAGGCACATACTGTTGAAGCTAAGTTGAGGTATTCATTACCCTTAGTATATAGAAGCTCTGGGTAGCTAATACCAGAAAAAGCTAGCTTCGAATTGACATACTGGGATTTAATAGGATCAAGGTATATTGGCATATAGGATCAGGACTTCTACACAGGCAGTGACCAACGGATTCCCTTGCGCTGGTAGATCGGTACATAATATAATATCCGTTTGCGGCCGAGTTTTTCACGCCAGAACTTTCTCAACTGGTGAGCAGTCACGACGATAGAGATGTTTCGGGTTGGTTCACTAGCTCCAATCTCTGGCCGCCAACCCCGGTAGAAATCTGGGGTGCAGGTGCCATCTCCCTTTCAGTGCCGGCGACTTTACTGATATCTAACGTACTCCCTTCACTGTCACTATCCGTTGTTGTAAATTCCAATTTACTTGTTGTAGGTTTCTCTTTATAAGGTATAATTTCAGTTTCGATTTCCTTCGATAAATTGGTTTGCTTATTGTTATCCGGTATTAAAATACCGACACACTCTATTTGTGATTGGAGTTTGCTAATCTCAAGGTCGGGTATATTCTTTGAATTAAAATTTTTCGGGCTGTTAAGCATATAGACATTTATAAGAGCTGATGGTTGGGATCTTATTGTAGTATTATTGTGTACATCGTGGATATATGATAGACGATCTTTTGGTTTGGGAATAGATCGCAATAACATTATATCGTTTATAGTAGGTGTTATCTTTGAGTCTAAGTTCATACTGGTATCGATTAAAACTGTTGGAATTTTAAGTAGATTTTTTAGTGATAGAAATTAAAATAGTACTTTAATACCCTTTGTTTATGCTGCACTGGGTTTGAGAAGTTTGATGTTAGTGTCATAAAAGGGATCGTGTAACATCCTGTTCAAAATATAACTCCCATCTTCTATTCCAAAGTTTTGAGCGGTGCTTTGAGGTGCTGTAGGCGCCAAAATCAGCTCATAAAAGGGTAATCCTACTGTCGTGGCAGTTTCTCGATGCGTTGGGAGCATTGGCATATCGAAGGTCGTTAAGCTCTCAAACGGAACTGAGTTCCAGCCGACTTGGAACTCCCCATATGGCTCCAACGTCCACGGCATATTTGGTGCCGCACTGAGTTGAGGTTAAGCTAAATGTTCTTGAGAGCGGTCGATCTGGTTCAGAGAATAGAATAGACTTCCGAAAAGGTGGGCAGATTGATGATATTATATAGACATCCAACCCCCCTTCCGTCAATTGAAGAAATGAATTATCTCTGAGCTCATACCATACGAAGATGCACAGCCGTAGTCTTCGCCTTCAACGTTTCACGATACGCAGGGATTACACAGCGATTGATCATGCAACTTTTATTTCGAGGCTTAAAAATGAATAGAAGGCCATAAATACTGCCAATGGCCGGTCGCCTCAAGAAGGCTATAACACAATTGATTGCTCAGCTCCATATTTACAGCCCGCTTTGTCTATAGAGAGCTCATATCTGAATTCTTCGTACATAAACTCAGAATAGGCAGCTAGCATAGACAGCAGCATAGAATGGCAACGATTGGCATAACAACTTGAGCGGTTTGTGATACAGCTTACGTCATCAACATCCTTCGATAAATTACAAAACAAAATCTGACCAGAAAAGATTTTCCAATCCTCCTTAAATCTTATTCTCGATGGATAGAAGTGTCGGCAGAGGCGGTTCTAGCACAACTGCATATCATGTCAAGGGTACACATAAGCTTCGATTCAAAACCCAACCCACAATCGTTGCATCGCCCCTTGCAACCGCTCTAGTTACAGAACAAGTCCAACAAGTCTCCCTGAACAAACCTTACCAAGCACTAGTTTTTACAACACTTCAGTAAGAGAAAAAGAAGTTTACCTTTGGAGAATTTACTTTCTTTAAAAAACAAAACTAATACTGAGTCTTTAAGTAAAGAGGTTTGAATCTTAAATTGTGACAAAAGCTAGGCTTGTAAAGTTGGTTTAGCTGCTGGATTTTGGAGTGGTTGTTGGGTGATGGTGCGATTGTGTAATTGCATTGTACTGATATGTAGGGGTTTTTTTGTGTCTGGTGTTATGATGAAAACGGGTTTGGGGAGTTGAAATATTCAATTTTATTTATTTTCCTATTACTTAGAACCTAGAGCAATATGACAATAGAGGGCATCATATATCCATATTCTGTTAATCAACAAAATAGAATCTGGCGTATCCTGAAAATCACTTTAACTTGAGTTTACAATCCAGATACTAGGGATTCTCTCTTGTATTTAGAATTGAACGAAAGATAGATATGACACTGAATTTTGGATTTTACTTTTATAGAGTGTTCGCACGCTATCCTGAATTATTTCTGTTTTTCTATTGATATTATGTTACAGTGTAGACTTGCATATATTTGTTACTAAATTAACGGACGCGATAATTTGCATTACTGGAATAATACTCAATACTATATAGCCCTATCTGAGCAGTGTTCAGGAGGCATCGCTCAAATCTTAAACACGCCAGGTCCTGGGATATCTCTAAAATATCCACCAAACACCTATGTTTAGTTCAGTATCAAAATAGTTCTATCGGCAATTCAAGAGTTTCCGACGAGGCGAAGGAATCCGCGAAAGAACGCCTTGAGCAGATGTAAAAGCCAGAGATGACACATCATAAGTTGTCGCAAAACCCTATTATTTAAAATATAACTATGCGCATGATGGATAGGACGCAATTGGACGCACATCAATCTAGACCGCGCTGCCGAATAGGATATCCTGTTATGCGCAAGTTTAGCTCTGAAAAATGATATTCGTCTCAAATTTTGATTGATAGCATAGTTTTAACCTGGCTTCTCGGTAGTTGGGTGTTCTTATCGTGTCTATCCTAGTGCTCCCATCCTGAAGTTAGAGCTCATCTACGGATAAGTGGCTACGGCACTGCAGCGTTCTTTGATGTAGGTAAATATTGGAACATGCGCGCAATATATTCCACAATCATAGCGGCCAGGCCCCCAACTCCAGGGTTGTTCTATTTACCTTCTTCCTATTCCTCAATTTCTGCACACGTCACTGGAGCTGTCACTGATTCGCAAAACTGCCTTAACTTCAAATTCAAATTCACATTCACATTCACATTTAAATTCAAAAAACTAAAAGAAACCCCTCAACTGATAATAATTCATTTCCCTACTCTATAAATTCGGTGTAGTTGAAAGAACACTCTCCATCAGAATCCAGTATGAAGGATCAATCTAATTGAACCACGCTATATTGTCTTTCAGCAATGAGATAGTAAGGTTGCTAAACCCCGATACTGCACAACCGAATGACTTGTATGTTAACCAAAATATTAGTATAGTATTATTATCCACCAATAATTCATTTAATAACCCAATAAGTTCTATATATTAATTGCCGACATTATATATAAACGTAATTAATATCAAAAAGTAGGCATCAAATGTTACTAATAACATACCAACTCTGTTTAATATAGCTGCAAATAAAGAATTTTTTTTTAAAAAAAAAGGTATTTGAAGATATTTTAATAAATAAATAACCAACCAAATTATCTTAACATCCAGAAGTTTGTTTATTCTTGAATATTTTAACAACCTCATTAAAGAAGTTGAGGCTTTGGATAATAATCAGCCATACTGGAGCTGTAATACTGAGAGTTTTAATATAAATATTTAGCTCTATAATTACAACTATCTTGAATTTAATGAATATTATAACAACAATAAGAGTAGAGATCTAGTCAATATTGTCCTTGAGCTGACCGATGGGGATGTGAGAAAAGACCGTCATTTATTCAGGGTGAAAACGACTGAACTAAATACATGATGTTTCTTTATGTAAGTACGAGTGACATCTTGATATAGTCCCTATCGTTGTGTCAGTATATGATATGGTGATATGGTCTATACCGACCTATCGGTCACGTAATACAGGGCAGAATAGGATGGGCGCTGAAGTAGGTAAGCATACAGGAAAGATTGTGCGGATTCAGTGATAAACATGAGTGTTATTATTTCTGTGCATAAGCGTTTGGCTGCTGTTGGTTATGGCTTCAAATCTGGCGTGGTAGTTGGGAACCTGGCCAGCCAATCAGCGTCCGCCTGGCGTCCAGAACAGGCAACTGCCACACCTGCTCCCCAACATCTCAACCCAACACTCCACAAAGTACCCCCTTCGAAGCGCTGTTGTAGCTGTGCGGACAGCTAGCCGCAGCCAGCTTGCCAGCTCCTGAACCGCTGACACTGCGCGCACATACCAAATTTTAAAATTTCAAAACTCTATTCTTCACTGCCGTGCATATAAAATGGTCCCTGGCTCTGAGCTTTGTATTTATCTGGTTTATCTTATTTTACTCTTTTTTGTTCCACCATCTCTTACAAAGTTCCAGCCTTCTTTCTCCAGCAATCGACTGTACCCTTCCGTCTAACCTTTGGGGTCTTCAACTTCAAATCAAAACAATGGGAACCCTTTCGGCGCCTTCCTCTCACTCAAAGACCAGCCGGACCAGGACCTCTGAGAGACCCCATATCACAGAGCTTGTACGTTCCTCCAATTTTTCACCTTCTCTAAGCTGGGCTCAATAAAACACAGTCGGAACTAACAAACGTATCCCCTAGCCGATGACATGGAGAAACTGGTGGAAGTATGCGGACTGGCTCAACGTATACTTTGTCGTTATAATCCCGTTGATCGGGTGCTACTGGGCCTGGTTTACCCCGTTGCAGACAAAGACAGCTATCTGGGCCATCATCTATTATTTCAACACCGGCATCGGCATTACCGCTGGTTACCACCGATTGTGGGCCCATACGTCTTACTCTGCAACCATGCCATTGAAGATCTACCTTGCAGCCGTCGGCGCCGGTGCTGTCGAGGGTTCCATTAAATGGTGGGCTCGCGGGCATCGTGCACATCACCGTTACACTGACACCGACAAGGACCCTTATTCCGTTCGGAAAGGTCTTCTTTATTCCCATATCGGATGGATGCTCATGAAGCAGAACCCAAAACGGATCGGTCGGACCGATATCACCGATCTCAACGAGGACCCGTTGGTGATCTGGCAACATAAGCACTACATTCCTGTTGTTGCCTTAATGTCCTTGATCTTCCCAATGTCGGTTGCCGGTTTAGGCTGGGGGGACTGGAAAGGTGGTTTCATCTACGCCGGCATTCTCAGAATTTTTTTTGTTCAACAAGCTACCTTCTGCGTTAATTCATTGGCTCATTGGCTTGGAGATCAACCTTTCGACGACATAAACTCTCCACGAGATCACGTACTCACCGCGCTTGTGACCCTCGGAGAAGGTTATCACAATTTCCATCACGAATTCCCTAGTGACTACCGAAACGCCATCGAATGGTTCCAATACGACCCCACGAAATGGGCCATTTGGACCTGGAAACAGCTTGGTCTTGCTTATGACCTCAAACAGTTCAAGTCTAACGAGATCGAGAAAGGTCGACTTCAACAGATGCAAAAGAAACTGGATCGAATCCGTGCCAAACTCGATTGGGGTATCCCTCTTGGCCAACTTCCAATCATCGAGTTTGAAGACTTTCAGGAGCAAGCTCGCAACGGAAAAGCACTCATCGCGGTCGCTGGTGTCATCCACGATGTTGGTGACTTTATCAAAGACCACCCCGGTGGCGGGGCTATGATAAATTCTGGCATCGGAAAAGACGCCACTGCCATGTTCAATGGCGGTATTTACAATCATTCGAACGCCGCGCACAACTTGCTCTCAACCATGAGAGTTGGTGTTATTCGCGGTGGATGCGAGGTTGAAGTTTGGAAGCAAGCACAACAGGAGAACAAGGATATTTCCGTAAGTCTTTCCAGAGACACACAGTTTTGATCTTTTTAAGGCTAACCATCGGCGTGTTTTACAGTTCGTTAATGATTCTACTGGTGCAAGGATCGCCCGTGCTGGCGCTCAGGTTACCCGGATTCCAGAACCCATCATTCCCGCCCAACCCGCTTAATTCTCTTCACCGAATTCTGAATAGACGCAAAACTGCGTTACAGACATAATCAGCCTTTTAAATATTCTCATAACAATTGCTATTTATCATTCCGTTGGGTGTTTTACTTGGGCGGTCTTTGTTGTACTATGTTTTCGTACTAGAAGCGTCGTTATCGGAAAGCATCCCCTTACTCACTTGCTTATCTCACGGCGGTGTTTTCTTTTCCTGAGATAGAAATAAGCACTAAACTACCCTAAAACTAGTCAATGGTTTCTCAGCCTTATCTTTGTAAGGGCAAATCAAATCTTCCGCCGCTAATGTCCAAGCCATATGACACATTGTCGTGAAGGCCACGAGTTTATTGAAGTCGTCCGAACATGACTATGTGTGTACAATATATTTTCCATTACAGTCAACCCTTGTAGAGTGAGGTTAGGGAAAGACCCAATCGAAATATATATACAACAGAGCTCGATGTGATTTTACTCTATAATATAAGATGAATAGAAAGAATTAGTGCAAAGGAATTGTCATCTATTCACTTGTGGTTAGGTTCGGCAACAAGTGGCTCCTCCGAACACGGAATACCCCGCAATGATAATTGGCTGTATCAGTACTGCAGCTGCCTGGATATCTGTTTTTAGCTCATTATGCTGTTGCATCTAAGCAGGCGGCTGCTTCAACGGGCGTCAAAGGCACGCTTCACTTGAATAATGATCAGTGACAAGCATTGATTACTCTTCACAAAACTCTTCTCCATGAACACTGTAATTTCGTTTTGGCCAGCCAACATCCTTCCGCTGCTAGTTTGAGGAAGCTAGCGAAAAAGTATGCCTATGCCAGCAAGGATGTGGTGGCATGGCCGGAGCTCCTGGGACGCCGTTTACCAGGTAGGTTTGAGCACATGCTCAACTTTATCTGGCATACTCAATGATTGCTCTGCCTTACGAAACCGTGCTAGTTTCCGCTGGCACGTGGGTGGAACGTCAGGCCTCTGCAGGTACAGGATGGCAATTGAATAAGCAGGTCCTCATGACCGCGAGTTTAGCCTCGACTTGTGAGCCCTGCGATGGGAATGGCATCGTGACTCCCAAAGGCTCAGACTACGGAACATTCTGCCGTAGGCGTCCTGCGAGATAAGCAATCGTATGGGATGCGCCTCAAGGTTGATTCTGAGGGAGACTCCCGGTTATTCAAGGCGGTCCCCTGGCCCTAGCATGCGTTGGGGAGATCCTAGCGTGCACATCAAAGATCAGGCTCATCAAATTTTCAGCAGATCTAGACCGAAGTTTGTATACTGCTACGATACCTATGACTACAGCGATTATGGGCGGAAAATTGAACATACCCACTCTCAAGGGGGATGTCGAACTCAAACATCCCATCCGGAATCAGTACAGGCGACCGAATAACTGTCGCCGGCAAAGGTGTGTTGAAACTAACGAGCCGTAAAGAGCCTACGCTGATCTGCAAGTTTAATTCAGAGTCTCTCTGCCAAAGTAAGTAATTTCATCAGTCCTCTTATCCTTCCACGGAACTGAAATCTGGGCGTTATTTGCGAATGGATCTCTTAGAGCATCTCAGAGAACCCTGCTCGAAATCATTGCCGATGATTTGGGAGACCGCCAAGCGAAGCAGATCATGAACGTCTTCGGCATGTGAAATAACAAATTCCGATGATAGAACTCAGGACACCATTCGACGCACAAATTTTATTTATTTATTTGTACTCTAGGGTTAAAGAGGCTGCTGGAGAACCAACAACCGAAAGCAAGGAGCCCAATGAGCCGAGAGAATGCTTCCCTATATAGATTTACGCATCCCCATGAAAAGGAGAACGATAAGTCAAATCGAGACGCTGGCACGGACCGAGAAGATCATGAAAACGGAAAGTATGCCAACAGCGCCGGGGCTAAGTCACGTTTCTTCCCGTTTTTCCTCCCACAAGGTTCCGAATTAAATCGTCTCTCATAATCATTGATAGATCAGCTCGAAAGCCAAATTGCTGCAGACATGCTACCATGCGAATGATTATTGGCGAGATCCAAGCTGTACTGTGGTCGGAGGGAAAACCATAGGAGCAACACAAGGGCACCGATCCTGAATAGGTCCAACCCTAATACAGCAGCCCTTATGCTAGTCCATTGGTTCATCCTGAATATCTATTATGGAAGTACCTATTGGTAGGTATTCCATAATGAACCAAAGGAAGTCTACACAGAAGGTCAGAGCTGCAGAGAACCATGTCCTGTTTAGTCACAGAGTTACCTCCTGTCTAGTTCAGTTATGTTATTTCCTCTGTTATTGTCTTTTTAACCACAAAAGCTCTCAGTTATTTAGAAATCAAGCAAAAATATAAGTATCAATTTGTAGTACTCGCACGCAATCTACTCCTGCCCAGTGACATTTGTCTATTGCCTTGGAGCCTGAGCTTGCCTGCTATGATTCTTACACAAATGCTCAGGCTCATCATAATCAGAAAGTTGCTTTATCTACCGCCCACGTTGTGGTTGCTGTTCTTTCCTTTCCTTTCCTTTTTTTGGCCTAGGGATGGTTTCCCCACCTTCGATCACCCAATTCTGAGACCTCGTTCCCAGGTGACCAGAACTCTCGTATTCGTTCGATCGCGTTAGACCGGTGCTAAAATCCTTCCGGTTTAAAAAAAGTTTGTTTGAAGTTCCGCGATATCAGCAAAGTACCAATCTAAAGAAATTGATATTCCGTAATTTTGGAGCTGAGATGCAGAATCCCACTTAGCGGCTCCAGATACTTTACGATAGACACCCCTTAGAGTTATGGCATCAGAACAAAAATTATCGCCTCAATGGGTTCTATAACCAGGAGTAAATACGTTAGGGACTGTTCAAGCTGAATATCAGCCTTCGCATTGATATTGCCTTGGTAGAGGTTCATTATCGTATGTTTATTACAGAGCCTTAACAATCACAACACTAGTCGGCTGCACAGCTGTACTGAAAAAAAAAAAAAAAAAAGACGGCAAGGTCATTAATAAATCAATAAGCTGTTAGCCTGTATGACTGATGACATCTGGATGACTTTTAAGATTTAAAAACCGACGATGCGACAGTGTTCGAAACAGATTCAATTTCCAGCGAAGACTCAATTGTAGCATTGTGGTACATTGAAAAACCGCCTGCATTGCCAATGTTCTAATTAATACCCGTTGCTTGCTATTAACAATTTATTTGCAGTAGTTTATAGGTTAAAATGCCTATATCTTCACCAATGAAGCGTAGCGTAATATAATGTTAATGGAAAAGCGGAAACAATGCAGTGGGCGTACAGACACTCCAGAAAGTGACACCTAAAATTCAAAGAAAGAGCCATATCACTGTTCCTTCACTCCATCCCGCGTCCCTCTCCCTTCTCCCCCTCTCTCACCTTCCCGCCCTCGCATCCATTCTCATCTTGTTTCTTTTTATCTCTTTTCAAATTGATTATATTCCTCCAGCTGCCAGTATCAACTTTGCCGCGCCTACCAGAAATAACCGGATTCCCGGCAATGCCGCCAGCCTGGCTCTTCGAAATCACGTTGAACAGATTAATAGTTCCTACAGAGCTTCCGTTATGCGCATCAATACTGCCGTCCGAACTGTCTCTTCTATTACGTCTGATAGCTTCGGCTCTGGAGCCTAGAGGACTCGAAGTGGGAGAACTGGCGCTTTCGCTCTCGGCACCTTCGCTACCAGCGGATGGAATGGTATTTGGCCAAGCAGTATCTGTCTCAGAAAGCAAAATCTCGCCAGCAGATGTACGACGATTTTCTTCGGTGGGTGAACGGCCTTGAGTTGGGTCATGGGTTGAATCGATGGGATGATCGTGTTCAACACTAGTGTCGAGTATTGGAGTCTCTTGCATATGATGCATGACAGAGTTTTGAGTGATCTTTCGCAATCGTTCGGTATCGAGGGCTCCAATGGTGTGAGATCCGGCTGACGATTAGAACTTGTTCTTGGCGATTAATCTGATGAGAGTCGTTGACTTTATATGCGTAGAGTCGCAATGAGAGGTAATTAAAATATATATTGGCAAAAAATAAAAAAAAGGTGCTGCGTGACAGCATTTAAGTGCCTCCTAAAAGTTGAGACGGCGTGATAAAGCGAAGGTGGTCCAACGAAAGACCCTCTGATGACGATTTTTGCCGTTTGCCGATCCTTTTACAGAGAGGAAATGACTCTTGTGATGTCAAGGAGGGTTTGGATAATGAGACTGTTTCTACGCCGCTCACTTTTGGTTGGGTAACAGTGTTGGGCTGGTTTCGACTAACAATCCGGGGAACCGAAAATTTTGCCTCCTAAGAATGCCTTTCCTGAACGGCGATGCTATCTCTTCCCCGGCTGCCATTGCCGCGTATCCTTGCCATTCCTTGTTCTCGAGAATCTGAGTAGTCGCATATACCGCGAAGAACCAAGCACCCGGGTGACTCCCATGTTGCTGGATGGACGGGGCCGCTTTGAACAGGCACCCCAATCAAGCCCTCCGAAACGAATTGTCCCGGAGGCAGGCACGTGGCAGGGTCTCAATTTGGGCATGTCCGGAATTGGTCGGGGTCCGCTTTATGACGAGGGATGTGATGATGAATGGCAAATGGAAAAAATGGCTGCTTCTCTAACTTGTTTCAAATCGCAAGAACAGATTAAGGCCGAGCGTATCTAAGCTTTGTCCCCAGATGCACTTGATGGGGAGTTTGGACGTCTGAAAAAAGAGCGTTGACGCAAGAGACCCATAATGTAGTGTTTCCTAGTGGAACGATCTGGGACAACTTAAGCCGCTGTCATCACATTTTTCATGCGCTCAACCTTCACAAGGGCTTAGCCACAAAAATAAATCATTGTACTTTGTGATTAATGACTTATACCTCAGATGTTATTGCAAGATACACAATTTTTAACCTCCATTTTTTGTTTTCAAATTGGCGAATTTACAACGCTTTTGATTTGAAAAGACATCTAAATCATTTTGATTAAAATCAGCACATACCCCAAAACCAAATAAATATCATTTAATCATCAATTTTCGCTTTTCCATTGCTAACACTCTAGTTAATGATGGAGATGATTTATTTAAGCCCAAGCACATCCACCATAAAACTAGATATTAAAATTAAATAAAAAAGCAAGCCTACAACACCACCCACAACAAGGTAGAAATAAGCATTTTCAACAACAGTAATATCCTATTTTAGGTTCCTATACACTTTTTTAAAGATGAAATTTTGATGGTAGAAAGCCTTCTGGTTATAACGTGCTCCAACTTCCTTAGACAAAATGAGGTGTGGCTGTTTTAAGTTGGGGTGAGCGGCCGGCCTGAATCCTTGACAGAAGGGCCTCCAACCCGAATAATACTTGTTCCAAAGCTATAAAAATGGTCTCTACCGCTTTAGAAGACTTAGGTGATGTCGCCAATATACACTTGTTCTCGACAATCAGATAGCTTGGATTTCCAGTGGTGGTGGTGGTACGGCTACCTCCGTACTTACTGTTTCCGTCTACTGTTTCCGTCCATTGTTTCCGTCCATTGTTCTACCGTTCACCGTCATTCGTCCGGCTACTGTCTGGTGTCTTTTACTGGCCGTCTACCCGTCTACCCGTCTACCTGTCTACCTGTCTCTCCATCTACTGTCCCCGTCTACTGTCTACCGTCTAACCCTAACCTTTAAATTATGTCCTCCAAATAAAACCCAGTCAAAACACCCATAATGACCTGTGCGCCTGCCGAGTGGGAGATATAAGTAAAGGGCTGTCATGGCTGAAATGAAGATGGCGGCGACTAAGAAGCCAAGCGGCACATCGATCTTGTACAGACGGTAGTAGTGAGCATCGGCCGCTCTTTCATGGGGCCATGCGCAAACGCTGGTGAGGCCGACGGCGAAACAAAACTCGAAGAAGCGGAGCATAGCGAGGACAAATTTCAAGTCCCTGAGCCGGACATTTTGTTCTGAATATTTGGTCGTAAGATCCCCACAATAATTACCAGTAAACAATCTGAGGAGAAATTAATATCTGCGGAATAAATAAAAGAGGCTTGAGAGTTTCTACCTCTCTTTTCGGATGCATCTGCACCAGTACAACATTGTGAATATAATTTGCACCCCTCTTTCCGTTTCTGGGAATCCTCTTGCTTGCCGCTTTAGTACTAGTGTTACATCTGCTTTCTTGTTGTAATCTAGCGCGCTAATAACATAGTATAGAAAGTGGATCTTGAAGGAGGGCCCGTAGCTCATTAAGCGCGGTCCCTTTCGTTCACAAATAAGGGGTACAGGAAGAATACCCCAGTGTAAGGTACACATAATTTGGCTACATTGCTTTTGTGCCAGTACACCACTTGTGTTTGTCGATTGAGCCCATGGTTTCCTAGACCCATTTTCTACATGAAGAATTGGATACAATTGCGATAAAAGAATCATTTAACTTTCACTAATGTCTGCAGGCCTCACATCATGCTTAAACCCCAATATTTTCCGTGATATTACCGTTATGTCCATGTTGAATTTCTGCATTCTGTTGGCAATACCGCACCGGCCGGGCCCTGCTACTCCCAAATTAGGAGGAGGAAGTGGATCTGACGGATGCAATACCAAGGGTATCCATTAGTTAATATCTGCAGATTATTCAGATTTTGGGCGAGAGCAGGATATATAATACCATCTAGGGTAGGGGTAGGGCTGTGAAGACGTAGACACATCATGTTATATGCGGAGCCACTTCCCACGAACGGCAGCGTGAGCTGTTGTGGTACCGGAATTCTGAGATATTGTAGATGCGTTGACACCCTTCCCCAGACCATGGAATGTCCATAGCCTCCCGGGCATGGGTCCTTCCACATTTTCCTTATATTGTCTATGTAGCTGAACGGAATTCCAACCGACGTTGCTTGCTCGGGTACTCGCGTACGTAGTGACCAAGGAACGATAGTTACGCAAGTCAGCTTTTTCAGTCGATTAAGTAATATCCAAATTGGTAGATCTCTCCAATCGTGAGAGTTGAACGATGGTTCCAGTGGCAACTTCGCAGCTCTGAGTGACTGGACAAGGGAGCCAATCGCGATCTCAACACATTCTGAAGCATTACATAAGGGGTGCTTAGGTGTAAAGAAGGTATCATCCGAACGGGGCAGCATGTCGTTGTAGAAATCCGTCAATAAATCAACAAGATAGTTCATGGTAGACGTTCGTTCGTTCCAAATATGATCTGTTCCAGGAATAGTTATTTGAATTTATATTCTGACTATTATGGACTATACGCCCGAGTAGTTGGAAGTAAATGCTTCAATTCAGTGCATATTGACAGTATTGCACCAGCTAGGGATATAATCCTTATGATTGGGGTGGAAACGAGATTTTCCGGCTGACTCGCCTAGGATAGGGCTTGGTATATCATCTGTAGCCACGCTAAATCCGTTGCCGGGTAGCAAAATCAAGTTTTCACGTAACTCCCATCTCAAAAATTTTTCCGACGTCTTCGAATCCCATTCACAGCACTCCTTCGCTAATTGTGCCGACAGTTGCTCTACTAACGACTCCATTCCGTCAATTTCACTGAAGGTGTGTCCGATACGCAGCCATCCTTCGTAACCAGGGTTCAATTGGTTGCTGTTTTGCATCAACTCTTTAATCCAAAAGCTAGGCCAAGGGTGTACCAAGTCCCCGCAGTCATATTTGTCACACAAATTCGCAATATCGAGTAGCTGTTCGTAGCTTAGGGACTTTGGGATAGCCCTATTCCGGTAATGCATCGAAATTCTGAGCAATATAAGCATTGAATCCGCGTCATCGTCTTCCAGTGAGAGAACTGGTAATTTCGCATTTCCGAATTCTTCTGTAGGCAGGCTTTGGAACCCGTTTTCTGGGTCGAGCATTCGCCGCCAAACCGGTGATGCATTCTGAAGGGCCGCGGCTGAGACATACACCTTCTCGGTACTCGAGGTCTCGCTGGTTGCCTCTGGGTTATCGCTGATGGAATGCCGGCGTGTGAGCTTGATGATTAGATCTGGCAATTTGCTGAACTCACGCCGTACTGAATTCATTTTAAGCATCGTTTTAAGGATATATATGGGGGGAAGTTTTGATTTCGGCAGTGATGGTTCCTTTCAAGCGACTAGATTCGTAGACAGGGAGCAGAAACAAATCATGCATATGTACATTCTTGTTCCAACCGTGCAGCTGCGACAAACAATGAAAGGTAATGTTGCACATTGCATGATACCGTCTATTAGAAGCCCCCTATACACCGCCCTCAAACGTTTTAGAAAGGCCCACTAACAATTTAACATCCTGACCGTCGTGCTCTCCGAAACCCCCTTGGGTTCGTTCCTCTTTGATAATAGATTTTTTAGTCGGTAGACCTTCCGGGTCACCGTCGCTCTACTCTCTCTTCCCCTCCTGCGCCCCATTTGATCCTTCTTGTTGTGTCAAACAGAACACTTTTGTGCAGCTTTTATTGGATGCGACCTTTTTCTATCATCCTTGACCTTGTTAGATCGTTGTGCCAAGAGACAGTCCACCGACCATCAGCTTTTCTGGCCTGCCACACAACAGAAGCCTCCGTCTGGGGAGTCTCGCGGCGTCAGACGGCTTTTCCTTGCATTTGATCTGTTAACAGAGCTTGTAGCACTCTAACAGAATCTGTTTCTGCCCTTGTCACCCTTCACAAATTGCAAGGCATTTGGTAAACAACCATTTTTGCATCTAGTACGTCTTGTTATCGCCTCACAGGCTCTATTGTGGTAGTCCGATGCCTTTGACGAGTTTTCGCAGTTGCATGCTGGTACGCAAATCATCTGTTGAGCAACCTGATCTAGACAGGTCGTCATCCATGAAGCTAAGTTAAGAAATATTGCACAGGCACAGTTCACAAGCATAACTAAGATTGTGCGATTGTACTCTAACAATGAAGAATAGCCTGTATTAACTAGTCGCGGCCCGACTAAACAAGACACAGAGCGACGCTGCCAAACCCATACAACGCTTAGTCAACCCAAAGTCCTGTTAACAATCAAAAAGATTTAATTCGAAAAAGATCTGGTTCGAAAGAACCTCGACTCCACCAGGGTTTGAAATTAATCAATAATTTATTCTCTTCAATAATGAAGGTTGGCCTGTGTTAACTAGTCGCAGCCCTGACTGACCACAAGCGACGTGCACCCAAAAATCCAATGAACAGCCTATTTTTTGCACCATACCTATCGCAACACACAATCAACTCATCTGTATTACCAAACCCACTTAGACGTTCGACTTGTGGCGGCGTGAGCCGGTTTTTTTAAGGTTTAGGGATCGAAAGGCTAGAAGGTAAGGAGGTTGGAAGGTCAAATCAACTTGTGAGGATAGTTTCAGGAATAGCAGAGGTGTTAATATCATAATAATTCATAGTCGAAACAGCGTTCTGTTCGGTGCTCTGAATTGTGCCCTGTGTTGGCTGGGACGCTGCATTCCTGCTTCCTGGCTTCGTATAATGTGTAACACGCTTCCCATGTCTTGGCACCCAAATCATCTCGTACCACGGGCAACTCTTATAATACAACATAAGCTCCGGAGCACAACACTTGATTCGGCGTAAAGTAACGACTAACGTGAGTAGCCACAGAGTTTCACAGGATCAGAAAAAGGAAAGGTCTTTGAGACTAAGAAGAAGGAGGAAATATGAAACCAAACCAGATCAGATGGACTTGCTATTGACCGATAAGCTATCAACTAAGATAGTCGTCGTCCGGTTTTGAGGCTTTCGGCCTCTTATCTCGTGGCGATACATGGTCTGTGATCTAAAAAGGTACTATAACTGCTTTTGCGTAACCTATATCTGGTGATACTCAGCATAAAGTGCCAAATTCATATGCTTAAAAGGTTCCATACCACTAGTAACGATAAATAGTTAAATATATATGGAAATAAATTCCTCATAACTTAAGCTCCGATGCCTCAATGTTGCTACATTAGAACCCTGCAAGACAAAGATGCGGAAGAGAAGAAACCCAAAGTTATAAATCTGAGATAGTAGACTTTTAATTTTTTTTTTTTTTTTTAGGGGGGGAAGTTTGGTATGTTGTATAATAATTTGCTGTGGATGAAAATTTCGCGAACTCCGCCACATTTGATCCTTGTTGTCCTGTCAAACAGAGCACTTCTGTGCGGCTTGGAGCTCAGCCACACTGGATCCTTGCTCTTTGAACCAACTTTGTGAAACCCTTAGGGTGCTACCTTGTTCGATAACCGGGCACCAGAGTATCCTTGTGTTCAAACACCCTTCCAACTCTGTCACATAACAGAATCTCAAGATCTTTCACTCTGCCAAGGCAGGAAAAGCTGTTGGTTCAAAGTTCTGTTAACAGGCTGAATGTCCTCAGACCTGCCAGGCTCTGTGGTTCGGGCCCTTGAGCCACACATTCGCCGATGCCCTTGTGACACACAAAAACTATCTGTGAAGCGGCTGATGTGCGTTCGCTCTGTATAGCTTTACGGATGCTGATAGTTGGCACCATTCTCGAGAGTTATATATCAAAAAAAGGGTAAACAGCGCGCCATCAAACTCGTACGCAAACCCCTTCTAAGAATCAACCGCGATGCCTAAATATCATCCTTCCATATGAGTCTGTGACTTGGCCCCGATCAAAACGCTTCGCAGCCTGCAAATCGATATGCCAGAACCTTGGGTGAATATTACTCAATCGGATCAACCAATCCGCAACATTAGGTAGTATCAATATTAGGAATTTCGGATAATAACAGAGATTTGTTATAAGGTATAGAAATTAACCAATTAACTCCAATTAAAAATTTAAATAAAAACAATTATAAACTATGTTCAAAACACAATCCTTATAATTATACAGATACAAACTTATAGTATAATTATAAATTATAAAAAAAAATCATAAAGCAGTTTACTTGTTTAATATTATTTTTTGTTCCTGTCTCTGCGTAAACTTTAAAGTATTTTATGTAAAAAAATTTTTTTTTTCTTGAAAAAATATTTGACTGATAGTTCCCTTCTATTTGTTTCGGATTAACTGTTATTAAATCTCTTTGCTAGCGTATATTAATTGATGTGCTTCATAATCTGCGAAATGCTGCAATCGTCAACAGCGCAGATGAAGATCTTATACAGTCCTTCCAGGCAGTTGAAGGCTTTGAACGGTCTGGCTATTTTAATATCGGGTGGACTGGTCAGCTGAAGGCCTTCGCATCGCTTTATCGGATCCTTTCGAAGACCTAAGCCCATGCTCTGATGTTGATATAACTCGCGGTGTTGGATGGAATTATGGCACCTCGGTGAACTGTGCATATCAGGACCCCGAAATCTTCGTAGTAATCGAGGAATTGTCCGATGAACTGACGTTTTCTTTCCGCGGACATTGCGTGTCGTACTTGAATGTGTTTGTTCTATTGGTCCCGATTTTCTATTACCGTGAACGACGTCTGGGTTGGGATATCAGCTTTGGGTTTTCTCTTTCGAGTAAAATATTTATATCGGAAGCCCCTTTTTTCTTCATCACATTTCGGGTTGGGAGAGCTGATATCCAATAGTATTGCAGTATTTAGTTTTGAAAACCCACCTTTGAAGTCGAGATCAGAAAATAATCTTCAAAAATCACGTTAGGAACGAGCATCGGGTTGACAGGTTGGATCCTTCCTCTGCACTGTTTAACAGTATACTCCGGACAGGCTTCTCAGCTAAGCAGCTCTGGAAAACCAGGCTAAAAGATACGGCAGAAATGGGCCAGTAGACTTGGAATTTAAGATTCGGGAACCCGAGGCAAGTGTAACGTTTTCATTATTATACGGCGCATCTTACAAATTTTACAATTTCAGGCTCTGTTGACGTTCGAGAATATCATCCGTTCTCCGCATACAATATTTATGAATAGGTTTCGAATAGACGGTTTAAAATTTATTTCAAGTTTTAGTTTACATTGTAGCTTTACTCGTTAGTGCTCGTTCTGCGCTAGGGGGTTTTTGTTGATTTTTCGTTTCGATAAATCACCTGTCGTTCATGTCTGCTGGTTGTTGTCCATCGACTATCCGTCGTCGTTGTTGCGGTCTTTTAAATTTCCTCTTTCGGTCGCCGGTCGTTTTAGGTACACCTTTTTTTTTTTTGCGTTGCGCGCAACGCCGCGGCTTTGAAATTTTTCTTGGGGTGACTCTTTTCATAAGATCTCTTCGAGTTCGGCCAACGGGGCGGCATATCACAGTTGGGATGTTCCCTACCCCGGTTTATTGCCTCAGATAGCTGGAGAAATGCTGACTTTCCACTTAGAATAAATGGTAAGTGTATTTTGAGCTTCTTCGATGGTGAGTACTCAGTAGGAAGCCAGTAAAGCCAACAGGCCACCGACCCCTTGTAATCGAGGCTATGACGGAATAGGCCGTGCTGATGAGTTTTTCTCATGATCATGTATGCTAGAGGGTAAGAGGGTAAAGTCATTCTCCTGCAAAACTCGGGCACTCAATAGACAACCCAAGTGTGTCGAAGCGAAGCCTTGTCCTTTCCTCCTCATCTTGGTAATCTCGCGCAGGAAGGGAACCGGACTTCGGGAGAACACAATGATAGGCCGATCTACTCTCAGCCCTAACGATTCTCGGGCAAATTGGTTTATCCATCCATCATTTTCCCTTTTTATATCCACATCTGCCTGTACCTTGCCGTAGTAGATCCCAAGCAACTCGCACAGAGCTCTGTAGTATCGAATATCCTCGAAAAACAACTGTCCTGCAAATATGTTCAGAAGAAACCGGTTTTTAAGATCCACTGGGGCGTTTGGAAAAGACGACGTCCCGGGAACAGGGCAGAAGATTAGTTGATCAAATGCTTGCATAGTTCGAGAGACTTTCGGTGTGTAACAGTGGAGGCGGCACACGGGCGAATTTCTGAAGCTTTTCATTAGCTTGTTTGCTTCATACGGACTGATTAAAATAAGATAAGGGTGGTGTCGGAGTGAAATAATCCATCGAACCGGTCTCAAATAATCATCCATATCATCAGTACATCCTCTTTCAACGGTACGCGCAAAGTCTTGAGTGACGAAAAGGTTCGAATTCCACGCATTGATCTCTAGGAGGCCGCGACTTGATGTATGCTCAAAGATATTGAATGCGAGGGCGAATGCCGAGGACGAAGATCTGAATTCCCCTAATGTGACCAAGTCTACTACATCGGGATGAAGATAGTGTTCCCTGGCATTTGCCGGCGGTGGGCGTTCGATGTTTGTCTCTTCTTCCATTTCGCGATCGACTTCTCTTTCTTGCTCTTCCTGGACCCCGGCTGCGCTGGAGCGGCTGACGGCAAATTTGTGAAGGCGAGCTTGAATCGTATGCGAATCTCGGCAGCACGCAATCCTTACGTCCACCCGTCGCTTTTCTTCTTGCACAGCGTACATTTCCACCAGTGACCGTGTCTCCACCTCCATCGTAGCTTCTTTTAGCTTGGAATGATCCCCGTTGATCTGGAAGTCATACCAGCCATCTTTACGCTTCAGATAATGGGAACCTTGATCCGCCCATATTGCAAACCCGTGTTGTATCTGTCGGCAACTTTCTAGCATCGTCCAAAGAAGAACGTCGGATGTCGTGATAACCTCATTTGGTGGTTTATCTACATCCTTTTGAATAGTGTCGACAACTGCCTTTTGAATGTGGGCGTAGATATCCGGTGAGGCTAGGAATGTAAGCGAATGCCCTTGTCCAAGTTTCCGCATTCTCATGCAACCTTGTATCTTGTTAGAAACTATCACAAACTGTTGGTTTGATCGAACAGCAAACCTTGCACAAACTTGTCTTTTGCCAAATTTGGTCCGAGAGTCACCGCAGCTCTTGCGCCGATCGGAAGTTTCAGGTCGGTACCGCTAATGGCCGTCGAAGATCAGCGATCCTCATCACGGAATATATATTTAAGTTAATCTCATAGGGTTAAAGAGCCCCTACCGCGTGTGTGCTTCGTCTAAATACACCAAGACTCGATCTAATTGCTTCGATAGTGAAGATGACAGGAAAGACTCCACCTTGCCATCTCGTCTCGTCACGCGCAATTCGTCATCTCCTCCGAAGAACACGGTTCCTAGGATATTACTCGAAGGTTCGCAGTCAAGCCATTGGCGTGCAACTTCTTCGTTTGTGAGCTCTAGAATCTGAGCGCCGACGTCAAGTAGTACCTGAACCTTTGGAGTCAAACCCACCACTAGTGCTAGCATTTCATTCGCTTGGAGCTTAACACCGTTGCGGTGGACTTTGATGACAGCACTGTTTTCATCCCGTAAGATATTCGTGAGGACCAAAGAGTTCGTGTGTAGCTGTTGAGCCAGATCCAGTTGCTTAATACTCGTGGGTAAGAGGTATCGGTTGTCATTTGTGCCGCTGAAGCCAGTAGTATTATGGCCTTTTCTCTGAGCAATATCCCACCCACTCGTCGACAGTTTATAAGGAAATCCTTTTGCCTCTCTAGGAAAAATAAGCTCCGCAAGAAAGAAGTCGATGGCATCCTTGTTGTACTTGAAGAAGGGGAGAATTTCCTTGTTAACCTGGTCCTGGTCAAGGAGATTCAGGCCTCGGAGCTTTGAAAGGCTCGCCGGAACATCACTGTGCCTCTTGGTCCAGTTCTCGTATACAAGGTCCGGATCGTCCGTTTTGAGAAGAAGGTTAAAGCAGCTTTGCAAGTTAGAATCATCCAACCCGGTATAATAATACGTCAGGCATGTGAGCGTTAGCACAACTTCAGGGTGACCGAACTCCGCTTTGACAGCCGGACGATCTTTAGCCCGGTATGGAACAGCGAGATTGGAACGTTTGGTGTCTAATCCATAGTCTACTCGATATCGTTTCTCTTGGAGAACGAACAGGAGAACGCCGTCTGCAATGAGCCCCCGGAGGACTAAAAGCTGAGTTTTTAAGTGTTCGCAGCTTGAAAATAACGTTTGCTGTTCTTCCAAAGGTATGTCCTGAACGGCAATGAACTTGCGAGCGAGTTCTCTTGTTTCCGTGTTCAGAAGCTTTAATCTCAGGGAAATACTGGGAACTTTGTCCGTATCATTGATGCAGATGTCTTTAGCCATCTCTTTGATAAAATGCTCTCCCTTGTCCTTATCGATGATTCGAATAGATGGGTACTTGACCCCCTCAGCGAGCACCACCTCGACAGCCATGGGATCTTCCTTAGCCCATTCAATCACCTTTTCTCGAAGAAGATCCAAAACCTCTTGAATTATTGCCCACCTCTCCCTGCCGCCTTCTAAGGTCTGTTGCGCTCCCATGGTGTATATGAGCTGATAGCGAATATGCAGAATTTCGTCGCTCTCATCCAATACATCCCTGGTATTTTCATCTAGCCACTTCTGAGTAGTAATCAGGGGCTGAGATAGAGCTGTGTCTCCTTGAATGAGTTTCTCCAGACCCATAAGCTTGAACGAAAGGAGATGCTCTGGCAGGGCAAGAAGGATAGAGCCGTGGGACATGCAGTCTTTGTACAGGCTTCTGATTCTGTCGACGCCATCCAATGTAAGGCTGAGTCCCCGAGAGAGTGGAAGGAAATAAATCCTCCGATCGCAAAGGCCACTAAGTCGCTGAACTAGGATACGGAACATTTGGGTCGACAGTGGCTTGAGCACAATAGATCTGACAAACCTTTGGGTATCTGCTAGTGCAGCGACAACGGCCGGGACAATAACCTATTTACATTTTAGAATTTTTGGCGGAGGGCAATGCATTAGCATGTGATATACTTACGGCAGATTTCCCTTCGCCCATATTCAGCTGCATGACGGCATTGCCGTCTTTAGCATCATTCATCATGGCCATACCGATGCCCGCTTGAACAGGCCGGATTAACATCTCGGAATCTATCTCTAGCAGCAGCCAATCAGTATAGTCTTCAGCCTTCCAATTTTGTCGACCGGCATTCCACAGCTCCTTCTGGAGCTCCTGGGCTAAGCCATCCTGGGAAAGCCGGAGAAGCCTGTTGGCTCTCTGCTGCCAAGTTATAGTCTCGCCCAGTTCTATAATGGTTTTCCGCCAGGCGGTAGATATCCTCTTTCGTTCCTTCAATCGCAGGTTTTGCAGCACCCTGAGCTTGGTGATACTCGGCCAGAGCCCCGCTGTGCGTAAGAGCCGTTGGAGCTCGCTTTGCGGGGACAATGCTGACGCCACTTGACTAAATATATTTTCTACATTGGAGATAGAAGCTTGTCGGTATCTCGGAAGTTCCTCTGCCTCAACTCTGACGTCCAAGAGGCTTTGCGGCCCGAGATATTGTCGCAAGGCTGCAGTGCTCTCTCTCAGATCTTGGGTATACTGCCGAGCAAAAGGTTCCTGTGAGTTCCGAAGCTGCCGCATGATTATATTAAGTGACTTGACTTCGAGATTGCGCTCTTCCTCCCTAGTATTCCGGGTTAAAGAGTATGGTAGGGTTTTCTGCATATATAAGTGCCTAGGCGGCGATCTATCGGCGAGCAAATCCTGCAAAGAATGTGCTCCGCGGCTCCGTTCCCCTGCTGGCTGCGAAGCTGAGCTTATTCGGTGCCCAGCAAGAACCGAAGAATCGAAGATCTGCACCATATTGACTTCGGACCTCCATGTTCGAAGCGTTGAGGAGATATCATCTAGCAGTTGAAAGAATTCTCGATTTCGATAACAAATCTCAAACCAGGGACTAATTTTTTCAATTGCTCTACTCATCTCGATAAAATTATAGTAAGGGCCTGTTGGAGGGGTGGCGAATGCTCTCGGCCATTGTCGCATTACCGCTTGAGCTGCTAGGTTGACTTGCGCCTCACTATCCGAAATAAACTGTTTCCGCCGTCGTACACCATAATCTTTGTCGTCCTTGCCCCTCTGTTGTAGTAGATAGACGTAGTCAGATACATCGTACGACACAACGGATGAATCAAAAAACTCCCTGATATCCGAAATGTTGGGTGAAGTACCAATCGCAGGCTTGAAAGACGGATAAGATGGCAACTTTGGCTGGTTGAACCCACTGTTGACGGCAATTGCCAGCAGAGACTTTAAATATTTCCGATTTTCGTGAACTTGGTAGACAAGGGCGGAGAACGTAAAAAGCACGGCGAAGCGATGTGCTTTTGTTGCTACCCTGCAAAGCTCATAAAGAGTACACCATTCCGTGACAGGATCTCTGTAGCTCCATTCTGGACAATAGTTAAGAGATATTTTTTTATTGAATCCCGGAAGATCCCTCTTTGATTCGAAGAATTTGTGAAGATCTGAGTCCAAATCCTGTTTCTGGTGCCACTGAAAAGATGCTCTCGCCATATCTTGGGTGTAGGCTTCGACTTCGCTAAGCCCGTGCCTCAATTGATGTACTTTAGAAGCTGAGGCCCGAGCATCGGCTAAGGGGTCGCCCGGTTCGAAGATGCTGCGATGGTTCCGCGCCCGCTCTGTGAGAGCTTCTGAACCTCGAGTAGGGGGTTTATGCAGGGTCGAGCCTTCTATCAAAAACTGACGGCGGGACCAATCATGAAAGATTTCCTTTACGGCGGGGTAGAACGTATCATCCTGAACCCATATAGGCACTGATTCTTCCCACTTGATATCCTGCATAACTTTCAAGTGAGAAGGATAAAAGTAACGGCTGGGAGCTAGCTCCGCAATTTTCCCAAGAATATGCGCTTCGTTGTCGTGAAGAATCTGGAAAGAAAATGACGCCGCGCTCCGCAAGCCATCCAACGCCTCTTCAGTCCCGCAGCGACCTGTTAGAGGATCTTCTTGTAAACCGCTGCTTAAAGCATGGAGATACAGCCTAGTATAGCGCGCCCTAAGACTTCCGTCATCCAGAAGTCTATTTAAGACTTTATCGACACTGAAAATCGTGAATTCTCGATCACTCTCACCGGGATGGATTTTGATTAACGCATGATGTCTGGGGTCAGGTATTGTCGTTTCAACCCTACCAAAAGGAACTAGTATCGATTCCTTTCTGCAGCGTTCATCGTCCGTCCTTAGTTTGACGAAACTATTGAGACCTATGAAGGTCCCTATTTCCTGATTCTCATCGACAACCCACCCCCGGAGAGTTCGGCATTCGATATTGCCCTTTTCGTTAATCCAGAATTTAAGCTTGTACCTGGGAATGTCTATCGATATTGAGAGACTCTCATCAACTGTAGCAATCATGTAATCAGTTGCTTCAATCGTTCCCAACGCTTCATATGAAGCTGCGTGAATGTCACCGTAAATGTCCAGAAGCTCCGCGTTTTGTCGTTTCATGACCCAAGCACCACGTATTCGCTGTAGAAGAATCCAATCGTCCGGGGATGGACATGCCCTCCACCATTCAGGCCCTTGGTAGAATATTACTTTATTCTTTTTAAGATTGAGCCACTGGCTACCAATCTCGATTATCGGTCTCGGGACGTCGCCTAAGAATTTCTCCGATGGGATGAACTCATGGATGTCGCCATCATCCTTTTGAATAATAAGGTTGAGGCCATCAAGATGAAAATGTAATGTAATCCCAGAGAACAACGATTTCGTCTGATACGACATACCCGGCCGAGAGGATTCAATGACATCGAATATACGCTGTAATATGTTAATGATGATCAAGCAGGTTGGACCACGGCGAAATTTACGTACCGCTCCGAGTAGTTTCCGGTAACTTGGATGTTCATAATAGTCAGCTGGGAGTCGTCCATTCGGTTTCCCATTAACCAATAGTCTCCCTTGCAGGATATCTAGATGGATTACGGTTACAGTGCCCTCGACATCCGAGACCAAACGCCACCACCTATCAGCGGAACTATTTATTTGCTCCCAGATCCCAGAGACCTGGTTGTGAGATGGTAATATTTCCCTGATAGCTGCAAAGAGAATGCCATGGTTTGCACGAATGCTGCTTTGGACATAATGCTCGGAGATTACAGCAAATCGTCGATTTCGCTCCTGTAGAAACCGCAAATCTGGTGGTAGGTGGTAAAACGTCCCGAGGCTGTTGTCGTAGATGATATTCCGACAAATTAGGAGCTCAACTACGTCTTTTTGAGTTTCGAACGCCACAGGGAGAAGTTGGTCATCCACATCAAAGGTGCTACACTGTATTCCAGATACTCTCAGTAGCCAGTGTCGGAAGTTCAGTACTACTGAGTCTTCGGCTGCTAATTCTAGTTTCTTTTGCAAGCTTTGGATCCAAGGGTGGCAAACCTTCCGGGCTTCCCTTAAGTATTTGATAGCTTCTGACCTAAAATTTGAATGACCGCAGCTTGCTAACTTACGAGCAAGAAGCACCAATACTTTTAAGGTATTTGCTTGCTCCCAGTTGTCCCTTATTACACTCAAAAAGTGTCGTAAAGTCTGAAGGAGCTCTCTCGAGAAGTTATAATCAGCTAGGGTAATGTGGGCGTCTCGTCTCCAGTCATCGGGATCCGTCGCAACTCCAACTTGGCATGCTGCATGCATTATAAGCGTATAGACGGCATCCTTCTTGAAGGATAGATCGTCCTTCCGCAATTCAAGAAGGATATTGTGCCACTGTAAGTTCCGACCCGATCTCAAGGACCCGAAAGCCTCAAACTCACGAAGAGAAATCTCTGCGGGGCACTGGTCCTGTGCTGCGATCACTTCATTGTGAGTATGAGTCACATCGTTAATACCGTATAAAAGGCGGCTATAGGCAGTGTCTGATACTGTTGACTGGCAAGCTGACACAAAACTTCCCGCCTTATGACGAGAGGCCACCCATTCTGCTCTGCGTTTATCAAACAGCCGATAGACACCTGCGTGCTTCAGAAGAACATCGCTTTCAAGAGCGGGGATCTTCCTATCCGTATAGTGAGAAGCGCCGCATAACGGCGTCCTGGTCGAAAACCACGATATTTGCGTCTGAATTGCTGATTTATGCGCCGCTAGAGACTCCCAATTTTCGAGACCCCAATTCTTTGGATCACTAGTGAAACTGCCCGTTGTTGAACAAACGTCGGTGAGAATGTAGTACGTGGTGTCTCTCCAAATAACGAATTCTTTGAGCGGCTGGAGCTCAAATAATGTAGACCTCATCTCTGATTCAGATTCTGGAAGTGGCCATTCGTGCACAACAATCGTAAGGCTTTCGGCTTTGCGCTTTAGGGCGCATTTGCGACAAATAAGAGTTCCGCAGCACATTGCCCCATTCCAGCTATAGCAACACTCGCACTGAAGTCTCCGATATTCCGCCCTAAGGTACTCATACTTCGCATTCAGCGTATCTAACTCACGTTGTTTCTCTAATCTCTCGACCTCTGCCTTTCGTATGATTTCATAGCGAAGGTTCTGGAGTGTGAAAGAATTTTGATAATATTGATATTCAAAGGTGGTTTCCGAGGCGTTCGGGTTGAAAATTGAAGTTCGGTGGCATGGTGGCAATGCTTCATACCGCTTAGCAAGATACCTTTCTACCTTCCGGACCCGAGCCATATCTGACTGCTGGATTACAAGTAAAGGCTCTAAAATATTTAATGGTAGCTCCGGTGAGTATTGGCGCATCAATGATTCCATCCGGCAGAGTGCTTCGTCGAGCTGCACCCACATCTCCAGAATGGTGAGCATCATCAAGGATGTGTCAAGGACGTTGCTGTTCAGGTAAATACCCCTTGCTTTAACGTGATAAGTTTGAATTGTCCTCGCTAAGATTTCCACGATATCTGCCTCAGAATTGCTGTTACACCAATCTTGGAGATGCACCTTGACCCAATTTTCGAAGTCAATTATGCTTATGGCCGTCTCTGATTCTGTGCCCGTTATCATCGTTGGAAAATGTTTCCCGTAAAGATGGCAGACAACTTCGGAAGGATCCTTGATAACTCCTCGCAATTTTGGGGGGTTTTCAAATACTTCTATTCGTTTCTTTATCCATTTCGAACCAGTTGGCAAACGAAGCTGCGTGTTCACTGAAATGTTCGAAGAAGTCCCCAGTTGGCTATTCCACGTGACTTGTCGTTGAGACGCCGCAATAGCCGTTTCCCATCGTCTCGAAATCAAGCGGGATGCCACTTCCGAAGTCCGCATAATATTTTCCAGTAAGAGAGAAGAAATTTGATTCTCCCCAAGTTTTTGAGCGCGGCGAGCCAGCTTTTTGCTGATACATGAAACTGTGAAGCTATCGAGATCAAACTGAACGGCTTGCTGCAGTATCACTCGGACAACTTCCAACAAGAAACACTTATAATCCCTAGCACTCAAAGTTGTCTGCAAAGCCACTCGAGTAACGAGCCATAGGCCGCTTCGCCTCCATGGATTCTTTGCAGAACCCGAGTTAACTTCGTCTCTCACGTTTTTTGTGACACGGCCGACACCAATCTCCTTACCAATCCCCCTCATTATCCCAGTTAATAGCTCTATGATATAACACGGGTCCACAGTCTCACGGGTCTCGCTAAGCCGATTTCCTCCTTTGTGGCTCTTTTTCCTCGTTCTGGCGGTAAATTCGTAGGTATCCATATGATGCAGGAACGCAGCCAGTTCTTTCAAGAAACCGGGGTCTGAAACAACATCCCAAGGGATGCACGTTGCTGGGCCTGGGTAGGTGCATTTTAGTCGTCCCTGACAGGTAACGACGGCTTCTGCATCAGCTGATGCTTCAAAAACTTCGAACTGTAAAGTACCGTCTACACGGCGGAAAATTATGCCCGCATTTTGCATGAGTACGTGCAAGGCGAATGCATCTAATGTATATATGTAACAATTAGCTTTTAGTACATATCTACAAAATTAGAACGTTAAATTGAGAACCTGGTCGCTATTGAATATATTTGACCTCCATACCTCCTGATGCTAGGTGAATTAGCGCATTTTGAATCGCTTTTGGGAAGTCCTCCCTTGGGTCATGAATCTCCGTCATAGGGTTAAGAATATTTTGAATATAACCGGGCACACAGAGGTCGGATGTATCGGAGCTAGGGATATACTTCTCCGCAATTTGAAGGAGAAATTTCAAAAGTAGATGATGTTTTGGCCTCTGTTCTTCGACCTCCGCTCGCGGAACATTTGGCGGGAGGATGATATGGTGGATCATATACTCGATCTCACCCTTTCCGATACCTGTAGATTTCAAGCCAAGTTAGACGTATTAGGGATAGGATGTTATAAGTAGCTATCGCGAAAGCTAGTGACTCTCTCAAGAACTGTTTGGAAGCCTTTTACCGTGATAGTTCTCGTTGCCCTTCATATACATCTCCATTGCAAGTTGTCCAGAGTGGATTTAACTTCACAGGAGATCCGGAGAAGATTAGCAGATGTACGGAAACCAGTATTTTAAGCAATCGACACAAAGAAATTTAAGCCCATAGCATAGGCACAGACTTTTGCGTCGAATATGATAGAAATCGAGAGTTTGTGCAGACTGATTTTGCGCCGAAGGATGTGAAAGGAGGTTAATATGGAAATGCTACAGGTTACCGTGCCATCCGCACGCCTATGGATATTTTATCCCTTGTTATACATATATTCATATCCTTACCAAATTGTGCTCGAAATCCAAAATTCGAGCATCATTTGACCTAAACCTTTGGAATAAATTTCCGGATAGTCTGTAAAATTCTCATGGGTAGACAGCGCCAGCCGTTTCATCCGCATTCGGAAATGCAATACGTAACACAAGCTAAGAAGCTTTCAAGATTTCTACATATCCCCAGTGATACTATTAAGTTATATTTCCAGATTAATAACATCGCACAGAAGAGCTTGAAAAATTGTAAAACATTATTTCGTAAACGAGCGCCACATATTCAAGCGTATACCATAGACAGATGAAGATGCACCAATCATAACTAACCTTACGGTAATCGTACAAGGATTTAAGGTATGCATCTCTTCCCGATAGCCTGATGGTGGGCTCAGTAAGTAATCAATCTCAATGTATGATTGAACTAGTGTTTCTGGTATATAGGTATGTTACAAACCGCGTACCCCAATACCGAAAGCCCTCTTCTCCTAGATAGATTTGGAGAGACTATATGGTTTTATAAATTTTGACTACTTTCTCTATCAAAACGTCTCTTGGAACCGGAAATGAAGTTAGGACTTATTGCACTCCCACTATTTCCGCAACAGTCTTTGCTGGAGATGGCGTCAAGCTGGCTGTGCTCGCGTTCTCACGGCATGCTACAGCGCAGCTGGCTTCATATGGGGAGCTACCTTGACAGAGCATTTTTCTTTTTCCTTTCTTTACTGAAAACGGCGCTTTAATACGGACTAGTATGTAGTGCTAATGATATGAGAGTAGTAACAGTAGGAACCTTGATGTTGTGTAAACTTGCGTTATATGTCGATTTCAGGCACTATATGATTACTAATCCGTGTTCAGTTCTGGAAAAGCCAACTTGAAATTTGTTTCAAAAATTACTTTTGTTGCAGCCTAGTAAGAATGGATGCAGGTGAGAATAACTTTAAGTGACATACATATACGGATTTTAAGAGGAGCAAAGACAAACCCGAAAGATCGGAACCATTTCTATTCGAATTCGAGTAGAGCAGCCGTGGAATGGTAACAAACACAACACCCGACTGTGTTGTACTTTTTATGGGCCTGAGCTAGCTTATCCGCGAAAGACTCTCTAGACACGCCGTCGTCGGACCACTATGGTTAGTTGATCGACGCTGTAGCATACTCATCGGAGAAGGCGAGAAACGAGGGGTTCAAGGGATTGTTCTATGTAATTGGATACAATAGCAACTATCTTAAATCCTCTGGTTGGTCAATATGATAGACAACTCGTAACATCGCGTCGCTCCGCTCGATGTGTTGACCATATTCTTAGGTTTTCTCATCCACCAAGCTCTGGCAGCGTAAATCGTGAAGGGTATCTTCCCTTTCGTGACCTTGGTCGGTTCACGGGCAAGCGTTTATAGTCTCGGCATGATATCCCGCAGTATGCGTAGTAATGTGCCCGCTGGCGGAGTATTTTTAATTGCTAGCCTCTGAATATCACTAAAGCTTAGTTGGCGTATATGCTCTCTTATATCCATGTCCATTCTCACCATAAATCTAGGAAGGAATAAAATTTGATGCCATTGTCCTCCAAATTCGTATCATGACCCATATCATCCTCACAGGTGCAGCTGGCCTGGCTGGGTCTGCCAATATCACCTTCTATTCCCCTCCGTCCTTCTAGTTCTCACCGCCTTCCTTGGACCAACCGATTTCTAGTTTGCGTTCTCGATGATTGTGTTGGGGAATCCGAAGGTTGCGGAACGGTGGTTCGTGAGGTTGGGATATGAGGAGCATGTTAATACTCGAACAATTGAAGAAGTTGGCGATGAAGAGGAGGGGGAGGAGGAGGGGGAAGAAGAGCCAAGATCGAAGATTATGATCAACCGAGAGCAGAGTAATGGAGGCTGGATAAATGAGCGGACGAGGCTACTACTGCCGAAGGACTATGGAAGGAGCAGTAGGCTAGCAGAAATGAATGACGAAGCGTGGAGTTGTGGTTGATGATAAGAGGCGATATCGGGTTTGTAAAGAGGTGATCTGAGGGCATCATTTGTCTCCATAACCTTAAATATTTGTGAGAGATTGGTATTAAACTAGAGACACCAGGATGATGCGCCAGCCTAGCGCTGCTATTCAGTTACCATGCCACACGCCAGGACACAACCGGCGGCACTACAATTATTTATTTGTTACTTTTTCCTTACGTCCTCGTAGCTCAACATGGAGAAGCAGGGCCGTTTAACTTCCAAAAACCGTGTCGTTTGCTACACAACTCGCCACGTGATAGAAAAGCCCCGCACTCCGCAGCCCCGCACTCCGCAGCCCCGCACTCAGCACTGTTCCTCCCAACATGCTTACACTTAGATTCAAGGACAGTAAACCCAGCAATCGACCGTCTGCGACTTTTCTGGGTTGCCTGTGGCTCGTATTCCTAAGTCCTACAGGCAAGTATAAGCCAGAAAATCGTAAAATCTAAAATTCGAGCTTTGAAAGTAAAGTATTAAAGTAAGGAGCCTCCCAATTTCAGCCCACGAATCCTCCTTAGCTTCGCAAGAGGGGAAAAACTCCCTATAAGCCGCAAAGGCTAAGCCGCTCTGAGTTCGACAAAAGCCAGGGAAAGGTCTTAATTCATTTTAGCGTCTAGACACTTAGTAAGTGCTTGCTGTGCTTCAACTCCTCCAAATTCTTGAAGCTCCGATATATTCCGTGCATATACGGTTTTGGCTAGCTATTTGACCGATTGCGCCAATTGCCCAAGTCTAACGCAGAAAACTACAGGTAATTAACTCGATTACGACCGTACCTGTTCTACAAGCGATCAACTTGCACCTCTACAGTTGAGGGTTTTTTTTTTTTTATAGAATCTCAAAGTGGAATTCCCCGCCCGATATCCAATAGGTCGCTAACATAATGGATCCTATGCCATACTATATATCGTCGAACGTTGACCTGGAGGAATACGGTCGCTCTCGACTCTTTCATCCCTATATCGACGATACGTACAGGCAGATCTTCCGAGAAAACTCAAAGGAGCTCGTCGTCCTTAATGAAGAAAAAGGGATCAGACAACTCCAGTTTATTCCTGCTGGCAGAAGCAACTCCGTGCTTCAAAGAAATACAATGATAGTTAATATTGATGGTGCTTGCCGTAACAATGGCGGCCAAAATCCCCACGGTGCTTACGGCGTGTACTTCGGTCCAAATTCCCCTTATAATGCGTCAGGTTTAATCACAAGCGATGTGGCACAAACTAGCAATCGAGCGGAAATCGAGGCCCTTATCAAGGCGTTGGATATAATTCAGATAATAGTTAATAAAGACATGAGCCTTTCCAACTTGATAGTCCTCACTGACTCTGAGTACTTGGTCAAAGCTATAACAGAATGGATATATATTTGGGAAGGGAGGGAGGGCATGACCTCCAAAGGGACGCCGGCCGTGCACTTCCATCTGCTCAAGCGGGTCCGGGACAGGCTTAACTGGATGGAGTATAGTGATGATGGCGGTATCCAGTGCCGGTTTTGGTTGATCGACCGTAGCCAAAATGTCGAGGCGGATAAGCTTGCTCATCTAGCTTTGGATCAAGCGACTATATCATAAGCTTTCGTCAGATCCTCTCGAGCCCGTGGATTGCTTTGGAGACAAAAGGTCACCAAACTTTGTATGTGGTCAATGCGTCTGTAATACAGGCCGTTTATCACTCAATTCATCCCGTGGTATCAAATTGCACAGAGATGCATTTGTGTTTACATATGCTTATAAGTTACTAGTCCTTTTACCAAATGTATTGAGAGCTGTATATACTGATATGTTGTTAAAATGGTTTGTGGACGGGCGGTTCATGAAAAATGCTGTAAGTCGGTAGACTGCTGATGCACAGGCCTGTTTAAAGTTTCTGGATTTTCTTTCGGAAATGGCAAAATTAAAAGTTGTGCGTATGCACATACAGATTTTTCTAATAAGCCGACCAAAGCTCCCAATTTGTCTCGGCTTCAATAAAATGTCTGTTGATATTTATAACTGCATGATATTTTAAGACGTTTCTTCGGTTATTATTGAATACGACATATTCGTTTTTTTTAAATGGGAGTTTTCGAAAATTAGATCCACCTTTAATATCACACAGCGCGAATACTCTGACGATTTTAAACTTCCTTCAGATTAACCTAGAGCAGACGATATAAAAAGACTTACAAAAATGACGATTCCTTTATTTATTTATGCATCAATTGTTTATCGATTCGTTGGAGATAAGCTAAATTGGGACCCGTAACAACAATTAACTATTATTTTGAAGTACAGGATAATTTATAACGAGGGAGGAAAAAACTCTCAGCTAAATTGGATTTATTTTTTTGTTTTAAAATAATTCGAATCCAGCCAATCTAAAACATAGCTTGAAAAGTTCACTCAAGAATTTAGAACTATCATTGGATCAATCGTAATAATTATAGATCTCCTACCAATAATAATACTAGTAGATCTTCTCAATATAACTAAAAAAGAAGTCAATGGAAAGTTATTGCACTTGCATTCTATTTTTAACATCTTTATTGATTCAGCATTGCCTATCCGGTTTTTACATCTTTCATTCCAAGAGTTTTTTGTCGACCCTAACAAAAGAAGAAGCAAAAAAGGTATAAATAATTGGTTCTAAATCGATAAACGAAAAACATATAAAATGATAACAATAAAATATCTCGACATATTGTCAACTCATCTTAAGGAAAATATTTGTGGTTTGGAGTACCCAGGAAAGTTACGAATAAAACTCAACAGCGCATGGATAAACAAACATATACCACCACATATTCAATACTCTTGTCATTATTAGGTACACCACCTAGAACGTAGTTTTACTAGCAAGCTCATACTAAATCATGGAGTAGTCCACAAGTTTCTATACAAGTAGTTTTTATATTAACTCAAGGCTCTTAACATTATTGGGTGTATATCAGAATGTATTCATCTAACCCAAAGTTTGCTTTCACTCACAAAAGTATATTATCCTGTTCCCCCCACAAAAAAAAATCTATTGATCTTAGTTTGCATTTTGAATCTAATTAATTATATCTCTCACACTAATTGAAAATATTGGCTAGCCAAACAAAGGTTCGGAAGTTCTCAAGTTTCTTCTTGATACTAAGCCTTTTCTCTTACAACATTAACACATAGTTGATGAGGCTCCCCTTCAAGTCTACTCTTCCGCCATAATCTTCAATCCAGAAACAAGTATTATAAAAGCTTAATTCCAAGACCACATTTTAAAATAAATTCATAAATTTTCGAAAACTTCACAATCCTAAAGAACAGAACCACAAGCGCTACCAGCACACATTCATTCAACTCATAAAGTTATCTTCTCTCCTGATAATAAAAAGCTATTATTGGCATCTAATACTAGTACACTTAAACTTTGGGAAATATTGATGGGCTAACAGATTAAATTTTTAAAATTACACACCATAAAATTCCCCAAAATAGCTTTTTCACCCAATAACAAAGAACTAATAACATCTACAGATGGTGACAGTCTCATATCCTTAAATACAGCGATTGGGTAGCAAATAAAAGAGTACGAAGATAATGGACAACATATTACAATGTTATCATTTTCTTCTAATGGCAAAGAATTAACAACGGCGGTGTATAACAGAAAGATTAGCCTTTGGGATCTAGCGACACAGCAGCTAATGAAAACTTTCGAGTTTGGTGTAAATCTTGTGGAAATAGGCTTTTGTTCAGCAGTGAAACAACTAGTAGCGTTGACATATCCTGACCACGGTGATGATGGGGATAGCGCAACTGTCAAGCGTTGGGCTATAGCGACAGGGGAATTAGTGTGTACCTTCCCGGTAGCCATTCCCTATCACCAGTTGGACAGATTTAAAGCAGATTTCTCCTTTGACGGAGGAAAATTGGCACTAATAGGAGAAGATAACACTGAAATATGGAACCTGGCAGCAGGACAGCAGGAGGCGAGCATGCGGATCCTTGATAAGGGAAAGGCTTGTTACGATTTCGACCGCAAGCAACCAGTACAAGTGTTCCATGGCGAAATAATATTCGGCGACATAAAAACAAGAGATCTCGAGAAAATTAGAACAATTGGCCAAAGAGTGGACTCGGGCCGTGACGAGGTTTGTGATATTGCTTCATCTCGCGACGGGAAGCGGGTAGCGACGGCGCTTTACAATGGCTTTGTTCAACTTTGGGATGTTGATGCGTGTCTGGAGGAGATCGATGCGCAGTCAAAGACTTCTACGGAAAACCGTGAATACATTACCACCGTTACTTTATCCCCCGATGGTACTAGACTAGTATTGGGGCTAGAGAGCAGCACCGTTCTTTGGGATACAGCGTCGGACCAGCCAATAAAAACCTTTAAAGGGATCTCAGATGTGTTCTTCTCACCTAACAGCAAGTTCATGGCATTAATATTAACAACGCGATACCGCTTGGCTTGCAAAGCCAAGCTCTTCGATGCATCAGATGTAACGCGGCCAAAGATAACACTTAACGTGATAAAGAAGAGAAGCCTTAGAAGATACCTTCCGCCATTTCTCGATAACGGTGGGGGAAATTGGTTTCTCACTGCCTGTTTCTCTCCTGGCAGCCAACGACTAGCACTAGCGACAGGATTCGGTGAGGTTAAAGTCTTGGATACGGCGACAGGCAAGTTGGTACAGTCTCTCCAACCTTTTGATAGAAGTCGAGACCTTTGGAGAGTTGGAATGGCTTTTCCGGATCATGGAGCGCAGTTGGTATTGCAAGAAAGGGGGACCATCACGATCTGGGATATAGAGACGAAGCAGAAGCTTCAACAAATTGAAATATATTATGAGGATTCCCTTAACTACATTAAAACGGTTGCCATTTCGCCCGACAGAAAACTGTTGGCAACAGCGTCGTGGCGCAATCTTTTCCAACTCTGGGACACAGCGACAGGGCAATTACTAGAAGCCTTCCAATCAGAATTTTCCACTCGGGGTTTGCACTTCTCTAGTGACTGCCTATACCTAGAGACCGATGGGGAGACCATTGTCGTCTCTTCTATCTATTCTCTCCCTCTCCGTATTATCTCTCAGAAGCCCTCAGGCCGCATCCTTCTTACGGATGGCTGGGTAACTCGGCATGGTCAAAATATTCTTTGGTTGCCGCATGGTAACCGAGGCAGGCGTTCAGATTCAAACGACAGACTCCTTATCCTCGGTCAATACTCCGGAGAAATGAACCTTTTCGAATTCACCAATGTACCTACCGAGGTCGAAGACACTTGAGGCTTCAAAAACGAGAGCAGTCCCTCGCCGCCTCGTGTTCGAGGGTATCATACAGCCTTTTAAACACAAAATCTATCAGTGTAAAAGTTCTTCTTGGGCTAAACTAGTTTCCGATAGTTGGGTTTGAAGCACCACGGTTGAAATTTTTGTCACGACACGATCTTTCAATCTACGGTTCTCACTGAATCAATTGATCAAACAGGGGCCCTTCCATCTATGAAAAGATCGCTAGCACTTGTAACTGGAAGGGTTCTAGTTATCACGTTGGAATAATATATACATATGCATGATATCACCGATACTACGTAGGGGATTTAAAGAAAATAGCTTGTCGGTTTAGGCAGATATAATCGACAAACTCTACGAAGTAAAACGGTGTGCCACTTGGAAGATTGAGGCTAGAGCTTAGAATAGCGTGGCGTTGATCAGGAAATTATGCAACTATAAATATAGAAGAAAATACGCCCTGGGTGTTATCTCGTAAACTAGGATTACTGGAATGGATAGTACCATGCATGGCCCTTTATTCGGGTCCTATATATGCGTGCTTGGGGTCTTCGTTTGCGTATATCTGAGCCACAACCTCATTGATTCGCTTTATCAACTAGTAAATTAGATCTTGTAACATTTCTCCGAACCAACTAAACCGACACACCCCAGGGCGGGTCTGATAAGCTTATATGATTATAAGGCTTATACCCAGGGCATGAAAATGCCATGCAACCCAATGATCTTCGATTTCCGAAATCTTGTCAACGTGCTTCCTATACACGGAGGATTTGTTTGCTTCTAATAGGTATTACTTCGATTTAGAGGACTTAGTGATCTCTCTCCCTACTAGATGCAAGTTTCGCCTTGATAGTTCGAAGATACCTGAGACGTAGATTGACCTTCTATCTTTTATCTTTTATCACCAGGGAAATTTCCTAAAGGTAACTACTGACATATTGACCGGTTTGGTATCGGGAAGAGCACCTTCAATTTAACATCATCCGCCCGGCTAGGTCTTCGACTAATGTGATCTATATAGGGATATGGAGGAAGATCACCCCTTGATATAAGGGCTTTCGATATAATAGATGTGAAGATGAGACTTAAATTGGCCGTTAGTGCGTCAGATTCCACCCGAAAAGTTTTTTATCAGTACTACATATGCAAATTAAGTCTGTGCGGCCTCGAAAGGTAGCTTATAATATAAATTAGACTAATATCAGATCTATACTTCCAGTATTTTAGCTTAGTAGAAGTAAACGGACTTCAGAATAACCAAGCGAAAGCTTATAGCAATGCTTTACAGAGTATGCGCTATTGTGATAATCTTCTGAAAGTATTTAGGTTACAAAAGAATGTAGCCAACTGGTTAAATCCGCTTAAATCCTGCCCAGTCACACCAGGCTCCTATTCTACAGTAGTAATATATATTATTATTATCTTCTGCGGTGTATTATAACATTGACTGAAAAACTTTACGTTTTAATTGAGCCTAATTATTAGTTAACTTCAACATTAACTTTTCTTTTTTTATACCTTCATAATTTATTATAATCCAACATTCGTCTGTTGATTACCGTAAGGCTAAAAACAATAATTATTAACAGGATCTAGATTGCATACTTTTTTAGCCACTAATTGTGTGCATTAACCGCAAAAAAACTTACAAAGAGTGTTGGTAAAAAGGATTGTATATTGCTTGATAATGCAAGGCATAGCCCATTGAGCATACCTAAAACTTGTGGGGTAGGTGCTACATCATTAAACGCAAGTTAAATAGCCGTGAAGGACATAGCAACTCCATACTTTAGTGTTATTAGGATAAATGCACTAATCTAGAAGGTTAGGGTGAACTTGCCACAAAATAGTAGGTTTAACAAGAATGGGATAGCAAGAAATGCTGGATAGACAATCACATAGATACGTAATATTCCGTTAATACCAATTCAACTTTGTAATGGCAGGAAAACGAGAAAAAGCTATATAACCTAAAATAAACTGTTTAAGCTTATGAATAAATTAATTTATAGTGATGAAAGACCCAACTCTTTTAATGCGATTGAAGTATATTAGAATACAGAAACGACAGTTATATAAGTAAAGGTAAGTAGCATAATGTGTTGGGAGGTGTACAAGATAAGTATGATTCCAAAAGTTTTAACAAGTTTTTAGGTTGATATTATAGTTTTTGCAAATGTAGGGGGGCTAATACCTATCTCTTTATCTTTGTGTTGTTCTGTAATTTTATTAGGTAGTGTTTTCTTAATATAAATAGCGCATATTAAAATTATAATAAGATTAATGGTATTGATAGTAAAGTTAGGTAGTGCATATAAATATTTGTTAAAGAAGAGTATATTATAGAAGATACTCGGATATTGAATGGTCAATTCTACTAAAATATTATTAATTAAAGGTCCGAATAAAATTCCCAAATTTCCAGTAAACACGAATAGATTGAAAACACATGCTTATATTTTAACAATGTTATATTTGAAGATTATGGTACAAATAATCAGAATAATACCAACAAACACGCCTGCTAGGCACCAAAAAACAATCATCTCCCGAATGATAATAACCATTCCAAACAACAACGTAGTTATGGTTATATTAATTATAGAGAATATTAATATAGGTTTTTGGTCCAGATGGTCGGCTACCTTACCCTAAAAGACTATAACCAACATCTAGATAAAAAAAAAAGAGATTTAATTAGACCGTTATAGAAGCCCGTGTTAGCTTTTTCGAGAAATCCATTTTTTCGATACATTTTATTAACATATAGGAAAATAAAAAAGAAGGTTATAAACTCGATAAAATGTACCGCACAGAGGAATATAATCTATATCAGGGGTAGCAACTTATTGTCTTTAACTGTGTCTCCAACTTGAGTTTCATTACTACTGGTGTCTGCGGTAACGCTTGATTTATAAACCATTGTTGTTTTAGAGATATCGCAACTTGTAACTAGTAGTGGTGTATTCTTATTAATTTTAATTTCCGTTGCAAGAGAGGTGCCGAAAATGTAAACCACTCAATTATCTGTTATTGTGTTGTTGCAGTTTGTAAAAAGTTGCTATTTATCTTAGAGAAAAAAAAATAATTTATTCAGCCTAATTACATTTTGAATTATAATTAAAATTACGTGGTTAAAATCACATAATATAGATATCACATAAAATTTTTATTATATATATCGAAGTATACAACATAACATAGTTCGGTGATTAAGACCCATTTTTTTACACATATTTTATATATATATTTATAATTCTATTTTTCGAAATTTTTTTGTCGACAATTGAAGTTCAATGCACGTATGCACATGCCAGGTTGTTTACCACAGCTATGAAATGATTATGTGGCCAGCCTCACATGGTACCACTCCGCGTTCTTGGCAAAATTGATTTGTGGCTAGACCCAGATGTGGTGCAGAGGCTAGAGCCGGCGGGCATGTCAACATTGACGAGATATGGCCAGGGTGGTTGGGAGGGCCAAATAATGCATCTAATTACAATCACAATTAATTCATTTCGCAGACGGTCACCAACTTCGAAAAATATTAATACCGAGAATCACTGAAATTAATCACGTCAACTTATACCTTAGCTTAGAAGCTAATTTTACGTTAATGAATTCGAATGGATCTTAATTTAGAGTGTATCGATATTAATTAAATTCTATAAAAGCTAGAACAACATACATACACCACGTGTGTGCCGAATAAATTCTTTTGTTACCATAATTATTTGATCTGTCGTTCCCATTCCGCAGGATAACCTAAAATCAGTCGTTAAAGCTCAAACTCAAGAGTAACATTTCCATATCTATTTCTTACTTCAATCAAAGGCTGAGATTACCGTAGCGCTAACTCTTCGAGATGTTGTCTTAAAATTACATTGAGATAATAAATCCATAAAACCCAGAACACCACCAAGCTTAGAAAATATCTGTACATACTAAATTTCGAATTGATTATAATTACAGGGGCATTCATTGCCGTACCCTTACACAAAATCAACAAATATTTTATAAAACCACATCCAGCCAGATCATATAAAAATACCAAACCCCAATTTGTTGCAAATCTATTACAACACAGATCAAGACAAACTAAAATAAATATGTTTTCTTTCATAATCTAAATTTCTAACTCTTTATTTTCTAAAATCTTTTTTTATTTAACATCAAACCACGGCAATTTTAAGTGAGTTTTATCAGTTTACACTATTTTTATAATATTATAATATATCGAAATACATCTCACTGTACCCCTACACAACCTTTCTTTGTTTAGTTTTTTTTAAAACTTGCTCACGTAAACATTACTAATATTTTAATATTACTTCCGCTACTAGTATCTAGTGTCCTTGTCCACTTCTTAACTACAAATCAGTGTGAAGACTATGAATTTTGTAATGTTTGGATGGGTACACCATAGTCCATCTATCTAAATGTTTTACCATTTGATAATGACATCCCACTCCAGTATTCGGAATTGGGTTTAAATTAATCTACATCATCAAATTAGGAGCTATCTTTGAAAAAAAAACATAGCAAAAACGTAGAAATTGAAGCCTTACTAGCTAATAACTCTAAAGCCGCCCTGGCTTTTAAAAACTAAATTATAATAAATTTGTTTGCATTAGGCCATAGTCTGTATTTTTTAGCTAACACCATCTGTCGCCTATAATAAAAATAAAATCAACCAATTACATTAAAGTTGAAACTAATTAACTTATATCTAAATCCCCTTACTAAAACTACTTTAAAGCATATTCAAAATTAAAAATAATATTTAAATTTATTTATTAGCCCTATATCCCAATAACTAATTTATTCCACATCTTTAATAAAATAAATTAATATTTAATTTAAATACCCCCTTGGAAAACATTTTGAAATCCAGCCAGATATTTATTTTTTTTGGTTTTTGACCTTTATATTCTAGATATATTCTATTCTTATTCCAACAAGTTGTTTTCTTGTTTGAAATTTTAATATTA